TCGGTTCTGTGCACACTATGGTCATTGGTCTTTGCAAGGCCCATTTCTTGGTTTATTTCTATGTCTTTCCACTTTCCCACCTCATCCCGGATTCCCCCTCCTGGGCCCCTCCTCCTACAAAGGCATCCAGGTCCGTGTGCTCAATACATAGCCTTGGACAGGAATGAAGCCCCAACATAGGCAGGGGTGCTCTGTGTACTTTTAATGAACTAACATGCAATCACGCCCTAGAACTTGCTCTTCTCTGCCCTCCCCCACCTCCCTTCCTCCTTCATCACTGTGAAATCTGCGCGCAGACACGCGGGTAATCCGACATGCCGCCTCTCACGGCTCCAGGGGGCTCCTCCTCATTCCGCTCCTTTGTTCCCCAGGGATGGAAACCGGGCTCGCCTGCAGCTGCCCACCACTGCCGAGGACACTGCAATGTCTCTGCCTGTTCTGGCCCCCTTTGGGATTGGGGAGAGAGGGCTGCATCAGAGGGTGCCTGCTGACTTCATTCCCCCAAGCAGTCCTGATTGCTCTCCAGAAAGGCTGCACCAGTCCCCCCACCCCACCCCAAGGTAAGGAACCCCATTTCCTTACATCTTCACCAACAAATGACATTTACCCAACTTCCTAACTGTTGCCAGGCCGATGGGGGTCGCACTATTTCTCACGGTCTTTGATCGGCATGTTTCTCATCACTAGTGTGCCCGAGTGTCTCCTCAAGAGCTTGGCAGCCCTCTGGGCTTCCCTTCATGTGACCTGCCCGCTCCACCCTGTGCCTGGCTCTCCAGGGGGTACGCTGGCTCCTTTCACCTCCCCCCCGCCCCGTGTTGCCTAGTACATCAGGTTTTAAGGTCAGAACCATTGTGTCTTCAGGGCGCCTTTGTTCATTTCTGCTCTGAACACTATTTGCATTTCATAGTTCAATGCCCAGGAGCTAAGTCTGTTTTCCTTCATTCCAAGTTCCCTCATAGGCGAGGCCCTAAGAATTTTCCCCACAGACCACCTACGCCTTCCAGGTACTCAGCACGTTCACTTTTCCAATGCCAGGGAACACGTCTTAAAATTTTGATGTCATTTTGTTTTAATTCCAATATAGTTAATAGGGTTATATTTAGTTTTAGGTGAACAATATAGTGATTCAACACTTCCATACATCACCTGGTGCTCGTCACAAGTGCCCTCCTTAATCCCCAGCACCTGTTTCACCCATCCCCCCCCCATCTCCCCTCTGGTCACTGTCAGCGTGTTCTCTATAGTGAAGTGTCTGTTTCTTGGTTTGCCTCTCTTTTCTCCCCCTTTGCTCATTTGTTTTGTTGCTTAAATTCCACATCTGAGTGAAATCATATGGTATTTGTCTTTCTCCGACTGACATTTTGCTTTGCATAGTTATACTCTCTAGCTCCATCCACGTCGGTGCAGAATGGCAAGAGCTCATTCTTTTTTACAGCTGAATAATATTCCGTTAAATACATACACCACATCTTTATCTGTTCATCCATCCACGGACACTTGGGCTGCTTCCACAGTCTGGCTAGAGTAAAGAATGCTGCTACAAACATATGGGTGCATGTATCCCTTTGAATTAATGCTTTATTTCTTTGGGGGGTAAATACCCCATAGGGTGATTCCTGGATCGTAGGATAGTTCTATTTTTAACTTTTTGAGGGACTTGCATATCGTTTTCGACATGGCTGTGCCAGTGGCTTTCCCACCAACAGTGCAAGAGGGTCCTTTTCCTCCACACTCTCGCCAATACGTGTTTCTTGTGTTCTTGATTTTAACCGTTCTGCCAGGTTATACCTCGTTGTAGTCACGAGGTGATACCTCGTTGTAGTTTTGATTTGCATTTCCCTGATGATGAATGATGTTGAGCATCTTTTCACGTGTCTGCTTCCAATGCCAGACAACATTTTATGAGCGTGAGCATCTGCTGTGTGCCTGGCACTATGCAAGCATCATCTCCCTGAATCCCCGTAACAACTCTGGGAGGGGGCCTTTTATCATGCTTGAGTGACAGACGTGAAAGAAGGCACAAAGGAGTTTAGTAAATGCCCAAAGTCATATCACTTGTAAAAGTGACCCAGTCAGGATGCTATCTACAGCTGAGATTCCGTCCAGTTTATGTCAAATAATGCCGATTTCAAATAGCTGCTATGTTCTAAGCAGCTCCCTATCATTCATGCCTTCTCTTTCCTAAATATTGAAATTTACTGAAAAAAGCCAACCCTGGTGGTACCTTTGTACTTTCCCAGTCCCTGGTGTTTGAAAGGGTGGGGGCAGGTGGAGGCAGGGGGCTTGGTGGCTGAGCTCAGCCGTCTGAGTTCCCAGGGAACTATCTATCCCCCGTGTTCATACTCCTTACAGGCATTTAATGAGCACTGACTGTGTTTGGCAATCTTGGTGATGAGCAAAAAGAGTGTCCTTTGTCCTGATACTTGGAGAGACAGAGATAATTGCTTACACTCATGGGAATATCATTCTTCATGGAGAGACAAGTTCTGGAGGAAGTAACGGTCCCATGAGGGTTTAAAAGAGAAGGCCCTGTCTAATACTGAAGGTGGGGTCCACGAAAGGATGGCTTCTCATTAAGAAGTGACAGTTAGGGCTGATAAAGAAGAATGAGAAGGAGATAACTAGGAGAAGAAGGGGAAGATCTTCTCAGGCAGAGGGAACAGTGCAAAGGCCCTGAGGCAGAGAAACATTGAGAGGAACCAGGGTGGCTGAAGGGGAAGGCAGGGGCTAAATGGGATAAGAGAAGGTTGTGGATCCTCAAAGGCCCAGATCAGACTGGGCTTCCCAGGCTGGATCTTCAACCTGGAATGCCAGGACACTGGGTATATATGAAGGCTTCTCAAGCCATGGGAGACCCTCGATTTACACATGTTCTCTATTTTAAAAATGATCTGGCTGAGATGGACCCGGGTAGAGACATGAGGTTGCTCCTTAACCACCTCCCCTTTCAATAATCCCCCTGTCTCCCACTGGTCAGAGAAGACGCTCACCTCTCATCCAACCTGATTCTTACCACCTTACTGTGTTATATCGTCCTGAGGCATAAGAACACCCAGAGGCAATGTTAGTGCCTGTTTTTGCCAAAAAATCCTCCCCCCATCCATCTCATTCAGTCATGCACTTCTAATACAATTTTTCTTATGTTTAATAATTATCAAAATTCATATGTGTATGATGCCTTTATCATTTATATGCTACTAATGATTGTTGTAACACAATCATAAAGGGAGTTTTAAAATTCACCTGTATGGTGCTGCTACCAGAATGTGTAGGCACCCCAAGAACAGTGATTTTGCCTGCTTCGACCATTCCTGTCTCCCCAGCATCAACCATCATGCCTGGCACATAGTAAACACTCAATAAATCCTTATCGGGTGAATGAATGGTGGACAAGCCAAGCTCTCACTTTGCACAGGGCACTGTGTTAAGGGATTCCCACTTCATCTTCACTACAACCCTGTAGTCATTCCAATTAGTATCCCCATGTCAGAGATGGGGAAACTAAGGCACAGAGAGGCTACGTAATTTGCCCAAGGTCACCTACCAAGGAAGTAGCAGAGTGGGACCCAGGCATCCTGACCAGAACCCTTAACCATGACCCGTCTCTGCCCAAGGGAGCATGGGGCAGAGTCTGTCTTTGGGTTCTGAAACTCCAGGCACGTTGGGCACTCCCCGAGTGTGATACCCGCCACAGCCCTCTCCACGACTCCCTGCCATCTACTCTCTCCTCCTAAGTGGTTTTCCTTCTCTCCGTGTTTAATATTTCAGTTGACACATCCTGGGACATCCCGGAGTCCCCATCTTACTGACCTACTTACTTATCCAGCCATCGTTCTCACACATCAGGGGCAGCATGGGGGTGTATGGAAGGAAGGAGGTGAGAGAGTGGGGAGCACCACGCATCCCCCTCTGCTGTAAGCAGCCTCCAGCTGACAATAGGCCAACATTAATAAAACAAGGCTGGGCTCCATGGCTAGGAGACTGCAGCGGGGTTACCTTTATTCTATGTGGCTTTCCAAGAAACTAGCTCCAGTTCCTTCCACCCCCCAGAAGGGTCTCCAAAGCTCCAGCTGTGTCAGGACATCTGTTTGTTTCTGTTCTGCTTATAGAACGGAGGGACTTGGAAATCAAAGGTGGGCCCTTACCCCTTGGGAGTGAGGATTACAGCTCCTGATCACCTACAAACAGGCCTGTCTTAACCAGGCCCACGCCCCCCCCACTTGGCCTAGCACAAAGAGTAGAGGACTACAGCATACGGGGTCTGGACCAGCTGCCTCCGCAGTCCTTTTACTAAGATGCCAGGTACCTACCTGGTCTCTAGTGTCCCCTGCCCAGGGTGACATACTCCTGCTGGCCCCAGAGGCCCAGGCCCCTGCTCCTACTTTCTGAGTCCTAGGCTCCCAGGGCTGGGGTCTTCACGTCCCCTCTCTCCCTGGGGGGTGACACACAGAGGTGTCCCCTTTCCCCCTGTTTCCCCATCCCAACCTGAGGGGACCCAAGGACCTGCCCGTCAAAGACTCCAAGTGGCACCCTGCATCATGCTCCAGAGGGGGGGGGGGGGAGAGGAGAGGAATGGTGGGGGTGCTCAGTGGCTTCCCCTGGAAAGAGATCTGTCCCTGTCTCCCAACACCCTATGACCCCTTTCCCTGGCACTCTCATCCAGTAGCCTTCACGTCCTCACGGCCAGTCTCAGAGGCGGTGAGGCTCAAAGAGCAGCTGCAGCCCCTACCTGGGGCCAGGTGAAAGGACTAATCCCGGACTCGCCCTCTTGGCCCTGACCTTAACCGCAGGACCCTTGACCTCCCGCTCTGGGGCCCCTGACTTCTTCCCTCGGCGCCCCAGCCGCGTCCCCCGGACGGCTTGGGATGGCGCACCGTCGGGTCCGGACGGAGAGCCGGGGAGGCCGGCGCAGGTCTGGGGAGAGGGGGTGCTGAGGCCGGGATGGAAGGTGGCGCCCTCCCGCCCCCGCCGGCCGTGACGTCAGAGCCGGACCGGGTAAAGTGAGCGGCGGCGGCGGCGGGGCGCTGGGGTGGAGGCTGCGACCCGGCGCGCACGGACGGAGCCCACGGTGTAGGGCAGGCGACCCCGAGGTAACGCGGGAAGTGGGAGGAGGCGGCGCGGGGACAGCGGGGTCGCGCGGGGAGCGGGGAAGAACGCCAGCGCCGCGCGTGGGTCTCCGGGGTGGCCGGGGCGCCGGCCGCACGGGGCGCGGGGTCCCGCGGCGCCTTCCGAGCGCTTGGTGGGAGGACGGGGGCCTCGGGGGCGGCGGAGAGCGGGACGCAACCCCGCGGCCCCAGCTTCGGGCCCCGACGGCGCTCGCGGGCGGCGCTGAGCCCGAGCGCAGGCGAGCCGAGGGTGGGACGCCGGGGCCCGGCCCGTGCGCGCGGCTCCCGGACCTCTCCTGCTGCCCGGGCGCGCTCCGAGCGTTGCGGGTGCGGGGAGCCCCCCGGCCCGCCGCGGCCCCTCACCGCGCGCCGCGCCCGCAGCCCAGCCGCCCAGCCATGGCCCTGAGCGAGCTGGCGCTGCTCCGCTGGCTGCTGGAGAGCCGCCACTCGCGGAAGCTCATCCTGTTCATCGTGTTCCTGGCGCTGCTGCTGGACAACATGCTGCTCACCGTCGTGGGTACGTACGGCCCGGGCGGCCCCCCGCCCCGGGGACCCCTTCCCTGGGTACCTTCCTCCCCGGCCCCGCCCCCCCCGCCCCTGAGCGCGCTCGGGAAAGTTGGAGAACACATCTTGCCAAAACCTCTCCTTCCCCCTTCTTCCGTCCAGCCCCCATCCCCATCCCCATCCCCAGGTCTGCCGCACTGGGCTAGTTGCAGTCGCGTTTTGTGGCTTCGTTTTCCTGGTGGTCAGGTCAAAAAATGTGATATCTGTTAAGAACCGGAACTTGTGTTTCCTCCTGATAATTTCCTGCTTCCCCCTGCCTACTTTGGCCGCGATGAAAAAGATTTCTACTAAGAACCAGCAATTCCCCAGGGTTCAAAATAATGTTACAATAATTATTATGCCAACCAGCAAGGTGGGTTAACAATTCGGCTTCACATTTAAAGGAACAAGTCAACATCCCTCCCCAAAAAGGGAAGTGACATGTAAATATATTGTTATCAATGCATGGCTGGAGATGGAAAGGTTTCAGGATCTTTTCAAGAGCAATTTAAACAGTGTTGGTTTTAGTCTTTTCCCTATAATGGATTTTTGAAAAACAATTAAAACCCAGGTCTCTTAATTAGCCCCATTAATAGCAGCATTTGGTATGCTTTTCCTTCATGTCTAAATTTCTAATGAATATATTTTTTAATTCGGATTCTCAGGGGTGGGTTATGCCCCTCCTCTCCATTTGTGGGTTCTCACCTCTAGGATTACCAGAGTATTGGGGCTCATCCGAGTTCAGTAACAAGGACCTCACTTCTCCTTTGTGTTGAATGCTCTGTTGTCACACACATGCCTAGAGCTGGCTATTACATCAGTTTTTCTTTATAGAAGTCTCAGGAATTTTTACATTTTCCAGGTTGTATGAAAAATTGTGGACTCCCACTCAAGTACTAGAAAGATGAAGTGGGCCTGTTGCAGAATTTCCAAATTATTACTTCCTGTGGCTTTATCTTCCCCTAAGACACATAATGAAATTTCAATTTCTATTTCTTGGATTCATTCACTGAAAGGTCTCTCTGAGTCTCTCTCTGAGGAGCTCTCGTTGACCCCAGGTCAGCCCTGAACAGACTTCAGACCCCATTTTGCTTTCCTAACCTATTCCTGGGAGGGAACCCTGTAAATGAGCAACCCCACAGAGGCCCAGAACCCCAGGCAGGTCCCTTCTGCACAAAGCAGACAGACCTCTCGCAGCCTCCTGGGGCTCAGCGTCCTCGAAGGTTCCATCTATGTTGTTGTCCGCAGTTCCGATCATCCCAAGCTACTTGTATAGCATTAATCATGAGAAGAACGCCACCGAAATCCAGACCGCCAAGCCAGGGCTCACAGCCTCTCCCTCAGACCGCTTCCAGAGCATCTTCTCTTATTATGACAACACCACCATAGTCACGGGGAACAGCACCCGAGCCCTTCACGGGGGGTTGCTGCCGGCCACCACACAGCGTGCGGTGACGAACACCTCCACGGGGCCTTCTGACTGTCCCAGTGAGGACAAGGACCTCCTGAATGAGAACGTGCAAGTTGGCCTGCTCTTTGCCTCTAAAGCTACCGTCCAGCTCCTCACCAACCCCTTTGTAGGAATGCTGACCAACAGGTAGGTTCTGTTATTTTGGCCAAGGAGGGGTTTTTTGTTGTTTTTTTAAAAAGGTTTTATTTATTTGAGAGAGAGAGTGAAAGAGTGCACGTGCGCACGTGTAGGGAGGAGCAGAGGGGGACCTGGGAGAAAGAATCTGAAGCCGACTCCACACTGAGCGCGGAGCCCCATACGGGGCTCGATCCCACGACCCTAAGTTCATGACCTGAGCCCAAACCAAGAGCCGGAGGCTTAACTAACTGAACCTCCCAGGCGACCCTGGCCAAGGGGTTTCATATTTATATTGTTTCCAAGTTATTTCTCCCTGGGATTCTGTTTCTTGTTCATTCATCAGAAGGTGGAAAACCAGTGGTGGGTGAGCTGGGGAAGAACCCCGATCTCCTCCTTTTTGTTTCCTAAATCACGACTTTGCATTTGTTCAGCCTTTCTGTTGCCCCCTCTATTGCTTAGGAAGTGAGATGAGACACTACTGAAAGAGAAGAAAGGGGCCCTCCCCAAGTGGGAGAACTCTGATTCTGTCTAAATGCCGGATTTCATTAGTGCATTTGCCAGACTCACTCTTGGGCAGCAAGAAGTCTGCAGCCACATGGCATCGTCATTGGATTCAGTGTGTCACACAGCTTTGTCTTGTCTTCTACCTCGGGTCACCCACTTCCCTAAAGCGAGCCAGGGTGGTTTGCTTTCCAGCTGGCGGGGTGAAGCCTCAAGATGGCAGTGGGGGGCGGGGGGGGGTTGGGACTGTGGACAAAGACCAGTGGTCCTGCCTCATCGTTGGAATTTTAGTGGACGCTGAGGCTATGGGCAGTGTAAGCGGCTCCCTGGCCAGTTACTGAGCTGGGTCCACGTGCACAAAGAGAAAAGTGAGGCTGTTTTCTGGATAAATCAAACCGGCCAACAATGCCCCCAGATGATGCTCCAAGCTAGCTTTATGTTAATCTGGATGTTCTGGATTTTTTTTTTTTTTCTGGACCCCCCCTCCTAATTTTGAATAATTGTTCCCGTCTCTACTGTCAATGGCTATCTGGCTAGTATTCTACAGCTGAGGTGGCCAGCTCTGCCCGGTGCGTCAGGGCCTCAACGCGGAGGCCAGGAGGCTGGAGAAAAGAGCGAGGCAGCCCCTGCTGGCATCAGCTGCAGAGAGGGGGAGCTGGTACAGTGTGTGGGGGCTGTGGATAGCCATACACACACCATGGCCCTCAGGCAGAAAAGTGGTAGAGAGGGGAGTGCCCAGAGTCCTACTTGTGAGACAGGCGCAGACACAGGAGCGGAGACCAAGAGTACAGCTGGAAAGGAGGCCGTGGGGCTGGGGGGGTTTATTCCTCTGAATAAGGAAGGCAGGACAAGCAGGACGGGCCAGGGCAAGGCTGGAAGAGGCCCCAGGTGCCAGGCCGGGAGAGGAGGGGGGTTTTGTTGGAGTGAGGGGGCACTTGGGAGCCACTAGATGTTCCAAAGCCAAGTTGAAGAGTCCAGGAACCCAGCACAATTTTCAGTAGGTCAGCCTGGCACCCTGTGTAGTCTGGGAGCAGGGATATCTTTACATTCACCCAGGTTTGGGCCTGTGGTAGGGGAAGCAGGCCCAGCTACGTTACTCGCAGGGCCCTTTGTTCAAATACTATTGAGCATTTCAAGAATGTAACAATAGATTATTAAAGCAAGCACAGGGCCCTCCTGAGATGGGGCTGGCTCTGGGGCAGAGAAAAGGAGGTCTGTTGAGTGGGGGGCCCCGGGGTGGTGGCAGAGGCTCAGGTGGATCTGGCCTTTCCCCCGACCCCCACACCGGGCAGGCCTGAGACGCACATACAGGTTTCTGGTCACGTACCCGTGGCCACTTGGATGGAAGCACGTTTTAGGCGTTTGCACTCTGACTCTCTGGACTGGGTAGCAGTGTCCCTGAATAAATTTTTAAAAATCCCAAGCCCCGTCCATCACCGCCCCGCCCCCGCCGTCTGTGTCAAGCAATATTACGAAGCTGCCAGGTTAAAATATGCTGAGCAAATGAACCTCGCAAGGACAGGCTGACTGGGAGCCCACCTCGAAGCACGGTTATCAAGGTGCCATTTGGAGGTTTCGCTCTTCTTCAGCGAGAAAACCAAATAGCCGTCGAAGGGTTGTTTTTCTCTAAGAGTGCCTCTTAAAACGCATCTGGTGTAATTACAGAAAACGTCTCTGGGTTTTGTATTCTGAGAAAGCAAACAGCTCGAAGGCTATATGAGGAAAATTGAAGACATTACTGTAATAATGCCTCGCCAATCACTGGGACACGAATCGTCCTAGCTGAGGAGTGCAATACAGCACTCAGAAACTCGGCCGAAATGGTGTGAGCGTCCCAATCTTCCAAATGCAAATGGCAAATGAAAAGCTTTTTTAAAAAAAATCCCATTCTTGTTTTGAATCCTTTGCTTACACCATGGGGAAGAAGCTTGTTTAAAGCCCGTGAGACCTTTTCCCCTATTAAATACTCCAAAGGCTTTGATATTGTAGCCACTCAAGGCTCCTGTTTGGGGCTCAAAAGAAAAAAAAGTCTTCCAAGAGAAACCTAATTTTGTTCTGTGACCTGTGAAATTCGGTCTCTTCTTGTGATGAGTTAATCCACTTTGCAGTTTAGAGCAAAATTGTAATCCCTGACTAGTTCCCCCAGCAAATTTCAAAAGCGTATCTATTGCTGCCTTGTAATATGGAAATGCAAACAAGTTGTAACATTGATACAGCGCGAACTCTGTTGTCCCTCCAAAATGATCCTGATTTTTGTATATTCCGTATTTTCCAAGCCCACTAGACATGAATTTTGAGGATTTGCGGCGTTTCTGAGCACCCCACAGCTCTGCTCAGAGACATGATATATTCCACTTTCCTTTACAGGGCTTTCCCTTGTGAGCCCCTGCAGTTAGTCTTTTGATGTAATTTGTGCCAATTGCATCCTCAATTATGAACAAGATGTGTGACTCACATTTTCAGCGTCGTAAACAAGTGTGTTTAAAACAGCATTTTGCAGTTGGTTAATACATTTCTGATTAAAGAAAGAGTGGTTAAAAGCATGGAGCATCAGAGCTGAAAGAGACTTTAGCAAGGGCTTTGGGGCCAGTCCTACCATTTTATAGGCAAAGGAGTTTGTCACTCAGGAAGAGAAATCGTCCGCCCCGGGCAGCGGCAGGGCTAGAGCCAGTGACCAGACTCTGTCTGGGTGTCTTCCTCCTTTCCTGTTCTTTCCACCTGCTTCGTGATTTATAGGTTTTACAATTCACTACTCAGAATCAACAGCGCAGGTCAGAACCTGTCCTCCTTGCATCTGTTTGGGCTCTAATTGTACCAGGCTGAGCTAGTGAAAGTGAAAGCCCAAACAGTGAGTTGTTGATTGCTATTTTTTTTTTTTTTTGAGATCTATTTATTAGCGAGCATGTGCACACGAGCTGGGGGAGGAGTAGAGGGAGAGAGAATCTCCAACAGATTCCCTTTTGAGCACGGAGCCGGACCTGGGACTCGATCTCATGACCTGAGCTGAAATCAAGAGTCAAGACACTTAACCAACAGAGCCACCCAGGTGCCCCCCGATTGCTATCTTTTAATCATCGGGTAGGGAGTTTAGAAGAAAACCTGTGTGGTTTTTTTTTGGACATGGACCCTCCCTTACCTCCCCAGCTCTGGAAAAATATCTTTCTCTTGCTCTTGGTGTGATCTGGCCCTGCTTGCTTCTGACAGTGGGGAAAAGAAAGGTCTCCTATATCCCCCGAAACTGGGGAAGCTACGGGGAGGCTGGTTGGAGCCCCTCCTTTCTAGAGCCTTTTGCTGTAAGTGGGACCCACTCATCACATGCGTCATGTCATGGCTCGGACCCTGCTATTCATGGTCAAGGTGCTGCTGCCTGAGTGGCTCTTATGGGTGGGTGATCCTAGAGGTGGGCTGCCGGTATGTTGTTTTAAATACTGGAGAAGTGCTCTCCTTCCAAACCCTGAGATAAAAAATGACAATTCCTGAGAAATGTTTAATTGCCCATTGCGCTGCTAATATACAAGTTTTATTCCTGTTTGATTTCATCTTCAGGTGCTACATTTTTACTGGAAACAGATGCCCAGAGAGGGAGCGAAGGACTTTTGATTTTGGCAAGATTGGTGCTCGCATATCCAGCAGCGCGCTTTCCAAAGCCCGCGGGTGCCTTGATTTTTATCTTTGAGGCTCATGAGGTTTCTAATTCCAGTTTATTCATCTCACGATTGCAGCTGTGCATCAAAGGGAGGGGTAGAAGGAACTCGACTAGCAGCATCTGTTACCGTCTACCCCCGTGAGTGAATTTGAGGCATAGGTAGACCTAACGGGAATGTTCCAGGCAGACAAACACTGCAAAAGCACCTTTCTGTTTCTCTCCATAAATCAGGTTAAGAACGTGGCATCATGGTCTTCACTTGCTTACTCTGGGGCTTCCGTAGTTGTTGCATCTTGAGAACCAAGAGCTGTTCCAGATGCACTGGATGGCTGGGGAAAGAGTTAACTCGGGGTGCTTGGGGGACAGCTCCCTCGGCTTCCTCCTTCGCTCGTTGTTGGCGGCTCCCTGGTCTGCTTTTTATCAAGCCAGCATCAGTGGCTTAATATATTTCCATAGTTACCTCGTATATTTGAAAGCCAGTTATTTGTCCTCACAAATCTTAGCCTACATCTGAATGACAAGAAGGAAGCCGCAGGGCATGGAGTCTCTACAGAATGCACAGTGGTAATTTTTTTTTCCTTCGCTTCAGCCAGTTGGTCCGAAGTAGGCTCTGTGGGAATAAGCAGTGACCTTTTCATTGCTTCCGAGGACAGGGAAACCAGCTCTTCTGGAAAGTGATCTCCCATCTTAGATGTTGTTAGGATGGTGTGACACAGTCTTTGCCTCTGAACTGGAGAGAAGCTGGCAGTTGATGGGGTGTTTCCCGCAGGAGCCAAGCCCCCACTTGAGCTGTGTGGCTGGGACAGGGGTCACCCCCACCCACAAAAGTATGAAGTCCACGGCTCGCGTAACTCCCTGCGTGCATCTGATAGCTGAACAAGACAGACTTAAGGACTAAACCTAAGAATTTTGTTTTGTCTATGAAATGGGGGACAGTCAACTCCCTAGTAGTACATTTTAGCAAACGTTAGGCATCATTCATTACTGATCTCTCTTACTGCACCACCTTTCAGAAGATCATTGAAAAGGGAGATGCCTCCTCTTGTCTCATCTGATGATCGTTTGTACCCTTTCGGATCCCCTACTTTGTGTCAGGCAGAGGGAGCCTGACTTTTAACAGCCCTGAGAATGGGGCGTGCATTGGTCTCTATGGCAAAGATAAGCTAGTTCTATTAAAGAAAAAAATACTGATTTTCAGTGATGATTTAGGGACTGTGGAGTTTCTCCACTGGTGTGTAGGTATATATAATGAGCACCACTTTTATTGCTTTGTACTTTTTTTTCCTGGGGATTCAATATATGACTTTTAGTCTTATTTCAATTGGATTAACTGCTCCCTGATGCTCTACAGAGGACGACCGTGGGCTGGGATGACGCATAAGGGAATGGTAATGGGATATTTTGCTAAAGGTTTGCTCTATCAGATCTAGCTCTGCTTAGCACTGAGACGAGAGGCTGACTCAGATCTTCATGACTAATGTCACTTGAGTCTTTGTCCATTTAGGAGACATTGTGGGGAAGGAGAAAGGGCACTGGTGATCTGCCCATCACTCAGTGACCCTGGGGCACGGGACAACTTTCCTTTGGAGGTGGGTGTTTGGGGGGTGGGGAGGGGTAGAAGAATTTGAGGGTGGAGGGGTCCAGGATCTGCCCATTGTGCCCTGCTGCCTTGTCACTGAGCCCTGGGGGAAGATGCTGCCCAGCACTTTCCACTGGGCAGCCCGCTCAGCAGCCTGGCCGGCAATGGAAGTATAGGGGGCATGTGTATCTGGTAACGGGAAGGAAGCCGTGCGAGCCCAGGGGTATCCAGAGTGGTTGGCTCGCTCTGCCACCAGGGGTGAGCCACTCTCTCTCTCTCTCTCTTTTTTTTTTTAAGATTTTAATTTATTTTTTGACAGACAGCCAGAGAGGGAACACAAGTGGGGGGGGCAGGGGGGGAGAGGGAGAAGCAGGATCCCCACTGAGCAGGGAGCCCGATGCAGTGCTTGATCCCAGGACCCCGGGATCATGACCTGAGCCGAAGGCAGACACTAAATGCCTGAGTCACCCAGGCGCCCCGAGCCATTCTACCTTTGAACCTCCATGATCTCATCCAGCATGAGGGTTTGGCCTGGCCAACCTTTGAGTTTCCTTCCAGTTTGGCCACGTGGTTATTCCCTACGTGCTTATTAAAATCCCAAAGGGATTTAAAACAAACAGCCTGTAGCTGCAGTGGTTTTAAAGCAAACACAGCACCTGGGCTTGGTAACAAGAATCCTGTGTAAGCACATAGCCCTCTGGGCACAGAGCTACCTGCTGCTAACCCAGAGACCGTCCGTTCCACCCACGCGGTGTGACCCTGTGCTCCCGTATTGGGCATCCCCACCCACGTGTATGCCAGCAGGACCGGACACACCCCAGGCGCTCAAAATAGGCCTGTTATCCTGAATTTGGGACAAGTTACTTAAATTCCCTGGCCCTAAAAGGTAGTCGTCTGAAAAATGAGGGTCCTGCCAGCTACCTCAAGGAGCTGCGGTGAGAATCACAAGGGACCCCATTGCTAGTTTCCTACTTATGGTCTTGGGGAATGCCAGAGCCTCCTGGTAAGAAGAAGCTACTCGAGATGTGTCCTGCCAGGTGGCCCTGGCCAGTTATCAGGGCTGCAGACTGAGCATCGTTGCACTGGTATTTCCACCAGCTTCGACAAGTACGTTGTTTTCCAAGGGGTGTGTTGAAAGGGGGTGAGAAGGCTCTGTCTATTCTAGGGCAGCTACAAGCATTGCCATATTCCATTCTCTCCCCAAGATGTGTAGGAGTTGCTGGGGAAAAATGAACTGCCTGTGAGTTCTCCTCGCTGAGCCTCTTGGAAGTTTCTTTATTCAGTATCTGGCAGTGCTGTGTAGGGCCTGGGGTTGCGAATGGGGTTCTTTTGCCTAAGTGAGGAAAGCGCACAGAGCAGTCGGCTCCAGGCTAGCTGAGGTTAGAGATGCTGCCATCTGACGCCCATCGGAGCTGCTGTGTCGAACCCTGGCTTCTTTCCTGGTTTGTCTGATTGGCTCCGAGCCCCGCCTGGTGAATTAATAAACTCATCTCCGGTCATAGTAGGGAAATTTTTGCATGGGACAGAGGGCTGTTTGGGAATCTGACATGATTTTGCGATGCTATGTGTATTTTTGCTAGTTTCTGGAGCACATGAAGCAGTTAAAAAAAAAAATGGGGGGAGGCGGGAGTATGACCAGGAACTTTTGGAAAGATTTTATTTAAAGCCACATATGTCCTTTGGCTTCCCGGGGAGGTGGTGAAGTTTGCAGGGAAAAGTCCTGGACTGGGCAGGATAGTCCTGAGTGAAATTAGCCCCAGGACCTTTGACAAGTCACTGTTTCGCACCTCTGTCTCTTCACCTGTGAGATGGGGAGGTGGTCATCTGCCCTTATCAAATCATTGAGCTGGTGGGCATAAGAGCCTGGAGAATTGAATGTAATTTTATTATTATTATTTTTTAAGATTTTATTTTTTTTTAATTAGAGAGAGTGAGAGAGAGAGAGCACAAGAGGGGGTAGGGTCAGAGGGAGGAGCAGACTCGCTGCTGAGCAGGGAGCCCGATGCGGGACTCGATCCTGGGACTCCGGGATCATGACCTGAGCTGAAGGCAGTCGCTTAACCAACTGAGCCACCCAGGTGCCCTGAATGTAACTTTAAATGAAGGTATTGTTGTCATGATTTTTTTAGTCAAGCCTGGAAGAGAAGAGCCCTTCAGGCTGAGTAACTGGGGACTCAGGACTCCTTGGTCCTCACTTGGTTCCTGTCCAGGAGCCAGTGGGTCTAGGGCTGGGAGGAAACAAAGCCTGGAGATGTTCTGGGCTGTTCTGCTAGAGGGCGGCCACTCAGCTGGCGTTGAACCCCCTCGCGGGGCAGCAGGACCCAGGAAGCTGCCTTCACTCTCCTGTCCCATCCATGTGGCAGGAGCCAAGCGGTCTGCTTACCTGCAGGCACAGAGAGGAACGAATGAAGAGAAGGGTGGGGGGGAGGAAACACTTTCTGAAGCATCTACTATGTCCCATAGTAGCAGTTGATCATCCACATCTCATTCTGTCGTCCCTCCCGTGCTGGCAGGTGGGTGGTGGCCGGATGTGATACCTGAAGACCAGGGTCTCCCCACCGCCCCCGTCCACCCGGGGCAGAGCCCTGTATGGACCCCACGTGGTCTTTCCGAGCAATCAGGATGTTGAATTTTTGCACAGAAAACGAGGCCGATTTTTCTAGGCTGGCCCCGTTGAGGTCGATATGAAGATAGACTTGAGTATTTTCTTGTATCCCTGATGCCTCTCAAATGTAGTCTCTGCTGCCAGTTGAATCACTTGATGACCTTTTACTGGAATCGTTGCTTGCCATTGTCCCTTTGGAGAAGCTCTAGCAAAGACAGTAATTGAAGAATTAAAAAAAAAAAAAAAAAAGATGGGAACCGGGGTTGTGTATTTTAGACATGCTCTGGGTTGCTTGCCAATATTGTGTTAACATTTAGTGCAGAGAAATTTCTGTTCAGAGTGGCAATCCTGAAATGTATTCATGTTCCAAGGCAGTCAAACACGAAAAGGTCACATAGGAAGCACCAACTATATGAATTTTTAGAAAAGTCGACCAAACACTCATCCACCTGATCCCAAAGGGTAGGCAGGAGAGACTCCATATAAAGCCTTAGAAAAATACAGAGAGTCACCAAAGTGTCCCCATGCTTTTCTTTTGCAGAATCGGCTATCCAATTCCAATGTTTGCGGGATTCTGCATCATGTTTGTGTCAACAATTAGTAAGTGTCTACTGTTTGCCTTCTGCATGTGGGTCACGGGATGGGCTCTGAGGACCCCACACCGGGAATCGAGGCTGCAACCCCAGGGTGGGGGTGGGGGGCTGTGTATTGGCCACAGTTGCAGAAGGGGGTCCGTCAAGCAGTTCGTGGCACTAAAGTGCAGTGCGGTTAGTCCAGAAATGGGCCGTCGGGTTCATGGCTGGCTTCACGGAGCCCGTGTGAGGCATCAGGCTGGGACTGATGCGCCGCCGGGCCGCTCCCCCGGCAGTGTTCGCCTTCTCCAGCAGCTACGCCTTCCTGCTCATCGCCAGGTCGCTACAGGGCATTGGCTCATCCTGCTCGTCTGTAGCTGGTAGGTGTGCAAAAACGCCTGGTAAGTCAGTGGCCCCAGGGCTGGCTGGCCAGCCCCTTGCGGAATTGGCTGGAATAATGTAGGGAATCACGGTATTAGTCGTGGTGCTTGGGGAGGGGTGCTTAAGGAGGGTACTGCTTTCTCCTTGGCTTCTGCTTCGTCTTACATTTCTGTGCATCTGGCCGGTTTGGGAGATCACAGGTCTGGGCCCGAGAGGGAGGGCGAGTCACAGGTGATTTCTTTTGGTGCTCCCTGGAGAGCTTGGCTGTTGAGCATTTCTTCTCTTGTTTAGGGATGGGCATGCTGGCCAGTGTGTACACGGATGACGAAGAGCGAGGCAACGCCATGGGCATCGCCCTGGGAGGCCTGGCCATGGGGGTGCTAGGTGGGCAAGGGCCACGTGGAGGCCGTCTGCGGGGAGGGGCCTGTCGGCCGTTGGCGGAGGGCCACAGTGCTCCCTGAGTCCACTCCGAGTCTGTTCCCCTGGTATTCCCTACTTCCGTGGAGCCTGTGTAAACTGGTGGGAACTTCCTGACCTGGGGGATGTGGGCTCCCCTGCCTCCCCCTCCCAGCCTGCTGGGTGACTTTGGGCAAAAAAAAACCAGAGACCTTCACGGGTCCAGATGTAAAATGAAGGCTGGAAAAGGGTGGTCTGCCAAGCTCCTTTCTCTTGGGCATTCTCTGAGTTACCATCCCACCTGCGGACCTTCCCACCTTGCTCCCTTCCAAGTCTGCCTCTCCCCCCTGCCCTGGCTGACCTCCCTGGCCAGGTGACAGGTACCTTCCCTGAGAGGCGATTTGGGTCCTCTGCCTTTGTCGCATTCCCGGCCTTCACTTGGGAGCCCAAGGTTCTGCCCATGCTGGTTTATAAGGACCAAGGTCCTCACTGACCCATTTTCCTGCTCTCGTTAAATAGCACAGTTGTGTGGTCTGGGTATGGTTTCTCTTTGGTTTTTACTTTTGGGGTACCCTTGTATGCTCTTGCCCATGTCTTGGGTATAAAACTGGAGGAAGTTGCCAGGGCAACTTGACCTGCATAGAATGTAGGGTGGCCACCCCAAATAGTTTTTGGAGCAAAGTACAAACTCAGGAAACAAATGGATGCTTCTTGTGGAGTGGCGGGGGCTGGGGGGGCGGGCATCAGTCCCAGGGCCTGGCAGCAGCGCCTCTTTCTCTTCCTTGCAGTGGGCCCCCCCTTTGGGAGTGTGCTTTACGAGTTTGTGGGGAAGACCGCTCCGTTCCTGGTGCTGGCTGCCCTGGTGCTCTTGGATGGGGGTGAGTCCACGTGGGCACCTTGGCCGTGACCTCGGCGGCTGTGACCTGTGTCAGGAGGTGCTTGTGCTCACACTGCTTTTTCTTTTTTTTTTTCTTTCCCCCTCCCCCTCATAGCTATTCAGCTCTTCGTGCTCCAGCCGTCCCGGGTACAGCCAGAGGTAAGCCCCTGGCGAAGGAGGGTGCTGGGGCGGCCACATCAGCTTTTTTAACCCCTGTTTTTTGCTGACAGAGCCAGAAGGGGACACCGCTAGCCACATTGCTGAAGGACCCCTACATCCTCATCGCCGCAGGTGGAGCTCCCCTCAGTCTCCCTGATCTTCCTCCGCCAAAGCGTGGGGGGTGGCTGGCGAGAACCAGTGCCCGCTGCTGGGAACTGTAGAGAATCATGAGCGGCCAAGAGGTTATATATGCGTCACCAGGAATGTCTTTCTTCCATCATTAATCTCTGACCCTCAGCCAAGGTCCTTCCTTGGTTTTCACTTGGGGCAAAGGGGTCTGGGTCATGGGGATGCCCTGACCCCGAGGTTTGTTTGTGTCAGTGGCCATCACTGTTTGGCCTTGAACTCCCAGAAGGAGTCAGTGGCCTCCCTGCAGACCTTGTAGGTGGGCGGTCTGATTCACCTGGGCGTGCGTGAGTCAGGGCTGACGGCAGAGCCCCAGAGGACCGCTCCCTTCCCGTGGAGAGGTCACTCTGCGCAGCACCAGAGAGGCTGCCGGGAAACCCTGTCTACAGAAGGTCCCGTCTTCGGGTTCTTGGCCTAGATGGGCTCAGGCGAAGCCCCGGTTCTGTGGTTTGTTCATTCATCCACGGGACTGTCCCGCCAAGACCATCTCAGGGATGCGGGCCTGGGGCTGCCTGGGCCTGGACGCTGGTCAGCAGTGACCCTTGGGGCCCGGCCAGGAGAGGGCAGCCCTGAAGTGCGGCAGCCGACGCGGTTAGGGTGAGATTTGTCCAAGCAGTGGTCCCGAACACGGCTAGGGCTGTGGGAGTCTGGCTGAACTGGACGCGTGCCCTACCTGAGAGCATTCCAGTTTAGCCTTTTTATGCCCCAGGCTGGCTTTGTTGAAGGCTTCTGCTGCTGGATTTGGTCATGGGGGCACCTCTGTAACCCTGGTCTAGACCCTCTCCATCAGGCCAGCTGGCCCCAGTGTTGCAAACCTGGTGTGGTGACTTCCTTATGCGGGGGACCTCTCTGTGCCCCCAGCATGATGCAGGGACTGTTCCAGCGCCCAGACGCCCATGTAGCCCGGGCGGTCTCAGGTGGAGTGAGGAGATGTGTGGTGAGAGCGGGCCTCCCTGCAGCCCAGCACCCACTGCCTCAGGCTTTCTTTGACCCTCACCGCCTCACCCTCACTCAGGGAGGAAAGATCCACCCAGCACTGAATATCAGGCTGTCATACCTCCACGCAGCCTCGGCTGAGGGAGCTGGAGGCCAGGCGGTGTCTTCTTTGTTCTGGTGAGATTTTAACTTACGAAGGTGACTGAGTGATGACCCAGAGAGGCCAGTGCTATTGAAAGGAGATTTTATTACCACACCACTCAGGGCCACCTGGGGAAGGAGCAGGTTTCCTAGGCCAGAGGTTTGCATGAGAAGGGCAAGGCAGGGCTGGGGGAACAGCTTTGGATGGGCAGGCTTTGGAGCTGGGGGCCGACCCCGGGTGCCTGGCGCCTGGCCCTGGGTGGATTTACTGCAGGGATGTCGGTTTGCTGTGTGAGAGTTGGACAAGGAGGGGTTCAGAGCATGGCCCTGGGTCCCAGGGGAGACATAGGAATGGTATCAGTTTGGCCCTACTGAACAGACGGCAAGTAACCCGCAACCCTGAATCTGGGCAGCAGGTAGGTGGGGGGAGCTGGTCATGTCCGTATCCTTTCTCTGTTCCACCTGTAACGTCACGAAGCATGAAAAAAACCTTTTTTCATTATATGAGCCCCTTAATCACCACAGCACAATGTTCTTTGAATCAGGATTCTGGCAAATTAGAGGTTCCCGGGGACATGGCACAGGAAGCTCCCAGCACTGTGGGGGAAGGGCCCCGTGCGTCTTCTCCCGCAGTGGCTCTACCTTTACCAAGGGTTCTGGTTAACAGGGTGGTAATGGATATTTGCAAAGATACACTATATGGATAGTTGATTTAAAAAAAAAAAAAAATCCCTCAACAGCCCATCTGTACTGAATGTACTGGATTTGGGGACATCCCAGGGCATCTTTAGAAATGTCTGTGTTCATTGCACAGTAAAACTTAGGTGCAGGAGCCTCCAGTTGCTGGGGTCTGTGTGTGGTCTAGAAGGGGCCCACACTGGTGGGCGGCCTCAGGCAAGTTACTTCGTTAATAAATTGGAACTCCTTTGCCAGTAGGTTGGGATGGGTAATCAAATGACCTCTAAGGCTCCCTCCAATTCCTTTATGACTCTGGGATTCCAGTTTGAAAATACTGTTTCTTAATACTTTGTTTAAAATTTAATATTTGACTTCAGTTATTAGTATTTCATTTTAATAGATTTAACTTAATATTTAATTATTATTGAATAAGAATAATGATGATGATGATAGTAATAATAAACCCAACTTCCCCAGTCTCCCCTTGACCTGTTGTCTGTCTTTTCCTCACAAATAGAAGTTCTGGGCCTCCAAGTGGATTGTTCTGGCTGTGGGCATGTGGGGTTTAACTGTGTTTGGAATCAGTAAGAGATGCTCAAGACCCCAAAATGGAAGCACACTAACCCTCTCCCTCCCTTGAAGGGTCCATCTGCTTTGCAAACATGGGGATTGCCATGCTGGAGCCAGCCCTGCCCATCTGGATGATGGAGACCATGTGTTCCCGCAAGTGGCAGCTGGGTAAGGACTGGAGTGGGTGCTTCTGATTCTAGAATTTTTGTCCTCAGGGCAAGTCCTATCATTGTAAGCCCTGCCAAGCTGCAGGTACCAGGATGATAAAATGATGGTTTCTCTTTGACACTTAATGGGGTCTGTGCTTAGGGTTGCAATGAGCTTTGGGGTCTGTTTCAGCTCCAGTTTTTTTTTTTTTTTTAATCATCCCTGATGGATACAGAATTAGCATAGAGGCATCAGACGTGGGCAGAAACGAGAGCGCAAAAATACATTCAGTGTCTCCCCATGTTTCTGAATTAGACTAGTTATGTTTATGTGGACAGCAATAAAATTTATGTGAAAGAAGCTAACAAGCAGGAGTTAAGAGGATTAATTTTAACATTTCTAATTTAGAAAGTAATACATACTTTATTATTTAAAAAACAGACCCAGATCAAGGAAATGAATCTTAAAATCTCATGTTCATCTTTTTCCTCCCAGCCCAGTCCTCCATGATACTCATTTTTAATAGTTTTGTGTCTTTTCCCAGATGGTTCTGCCACGTAGGAGATGCTTAAAAGCCCAACTCAAGTGGAATCTTCCCAAATGTATCACTGTGTGACCTCTTGTTTGTTCATGTTTCCAGGTCAGATGGGTAGATTTAATTTTGAAAACTAATTAAATTTAAATTTTTACAAGATACACATGTACTTAATGTTTAAGTGGAACATTACTAGCATTACTAGAATTATAATGAAAAAGCCAGTAGTCTTTGACCTATACCTCCCCATCTCCAACCCCCTTCCTAGATTTGATAACCTTCAACTCTTTTGGTTGTTTTTTCTGCTAATTTAGGTCTCTAATAAGTGTAACTGCTTTTTTTTTTTTTTTTAAGTTCTCCAGTTTCTGACATTATCTACCAGCTCCCTAACATGGTAGATGGAGATTTAATGCCATTATTCTACCTGAAAACATCAAACAACCAACTTACCTGTTTTCTCAACTTCTGTTTTCCTAAAACAGTTATATTACGGTTGTTGGTTAGATTGGTATTCAGTATTGACATTATCGTGACTATGTAAATATTGTTCAAAGAAGAGCTATATAGAGTTTTGTGATTATTTCTTTTTACAAACTTTTGTTTTTCCTGGAGTTAGTCATGGCCATGTCTTTCCATTTTCTTAGTTTTCAATGTAGCATTTATGGACATATTCCGAAACTCTCTGGCAGAAGTTAAAGACCCTCTAAATGTGGCCAAGTACATCAGCAAGACTAATCTGTGTTTTTGCTTGTTTGTGGACATTTGTCTCACATTACTCTGTCTTGCTTCAGTCTGGACTTACCACTAGGTCGTCCTAGGACTTTCCTCTTCCAGTATCTGGGCATCGTTGCCTCTCTTCTGTTTCCTATATCCTTCTCCTCTATATTCCTTTCTCTTGGTTTACTCTATCATTATGATAGAACACATCCTCTAGCTGCTTTCTGAGAGATGGTGCATGGCATGTAAAGTTTTCAGAGATCCTGCATATCAACAAACATCTTTATTCTCATGTTTGGTTGACTTAGTCTATTTGGGTATATGATTCTTGGTTGGAAACTATTTTTCTTCAGTTTTGAGGCCACTGCCCTATTGTGCTCTAGTGTCCAGGGTTGTTGTTGAGGAGGCTAGTGTCCTCCTCATTCCCCATCCCCTGTAAGTGGTGAAAGGATCTCTTCCTCTCTAGGTTATGAGCGTCCATGATGGTTTTTGCAGTGGGGTCTGTTTTCTTCTACTGGGCACTTGCTTGGTTAGCCTGTTCACTTGGGAAGCTGCTCCTTTTAGTTCCGGGAAACCATTTTGTATTATTTCCTTAATTAATCCTCTCCTCTACTCCATTTTCTTTCTTTTACTGTTACCCTTGTTGTTTTGATGTTGGACCCTCTGTGCTTTATCCTTTTAATTTCTTGTCTTTTTCTTATTTCCACTGATTTTTTTTTAAAGATTTAATTTATTCATTTGAGAGAGAGAGAGAGAGCATGCACACATAAGCAGGGGGGGAGAGGCAGAGGGAGAAGCAGACTCCCTGCTGAGCAGGGAGCCTGATGTGGGGCTTGATCCCAGAACCCAGAGATCATGACCTGAGCTGAAGGCAGAGGCTTAACCATGAGCCACCCAGGCACCCCTATAACTGATTTCTTCATCTTCATTTTCTAGTCTATTAAATTTTTGTAATTGGTGTCTTCATATCTTAAATTTGAAGAGCCCTTTCATATTTACTCTAAATGGTTTTGGATGTGTGGAAAGGCTGTTGAAATAACAGCCTCTTACCATTTAGTAGGAAGACTTCCACTCCCTATCTCAGCCTCTCGTGTTATCCCTGGTCTCCATGCTGCCTGGGCTCCCTGGGCCAATTGAGCTTAGTTTCTCTAAAGAAGCTGTTCTCCTGCCAGGGTGAGTGATTGAGAGCTAGGAGGGTCCAAATGCTCTTCAAACAGCCTTTCAACCCTCTTTTCCAGCTGACAGACTCAGCCTTACATTCACAGTACCTGGAGCCTTCAGTTCCTGAATATTCTGGGTTCTGAGGCACAAAAGCTGTTCCTTCTTGTTGGCTGCCCCATGTGCAGGTGGAAGGTTCCAGTGTTTTCTGCTTTGTCCATCACTGCTCTCACTCTGCTGCTTCCTCCCTCTCACTGCATTTTCTCCTTTTATTTGTTTTTGGGCATTGAGGGGAGGGTGTGGAGTTTTCTTTTGTTCCTTTATTAAAATTTAAACAGAATTTGGGATAGGAATAGAGAAAAACCTATAGATTCAGTGTGCCCTGTTTAACTGGAAGCCCAACATTCATTTTAATGATTGGATATTGTTCTATTTTAAGGTTATACCATAAATTTTCCGCCAGTTCCTATTGCCAGACATTTGGGTTGGTTCGTTTTTGCCATAGAAACCATACTTGTAGCAAGATATTCTTACATGTATTCCCGTTCATGTTTGCAAGTATTTCTGTGTGCAAATTCCTGAAAGTTCAGCGGGCATTCGATAATTAGTAGCATTGCACTAACACAAGTATTGTCTTTCCCAGTTGTGTATGTGAGAAGGCGAGGGGGTCTCATTTTGATTTCTTTTTACAAATTCTTCGCAGTTGAGCATTTTTTCATATGTTTCTTAGCTATATCTATTTCCTCTATGTGGATTTCTTATTAATATACTTTGCCCATTTTTTTTCTGGGGAGTTTTGCCCTTACTGATTTTAAATGTTCTTTGTATGTTGATATTAATCCTTTATCAGATGTTTTGCAAATATTGCCTCTGTCTTGTTGTATGTCTTTTGAGTTTATAAATGGACTCCCCCCCCCCCCCCCCACCGCCCCCAACTCAGAACATTTAAGATGCCGCTAGTCAGGGTTAGTGGTCTGCCCCTTCGTGTCCTTGTCATTTCAAGGCGAGACCTTTCCCATGTGGAGATTATTTTTGTCATCCATATTTTCCCCTCATTTATGATTTGTTTTTTTACATGAAAATCTTGGATTTACACAGACTTACTTTACGTGCATGGTGTGTGAGAAGGATCTGGTGTTACTGTTTTCTGTATGACTAGCCAGTTACCCTAAGTGTCCACCCAGTTTTTCCCACCTTTATCATACTTGAAATGACTGTGTGTCCTTGGGTCTGTTTCTGGGTTCTCTCTTCTGTTCCATTAGTCGGCAGGAATTTCTGTGTCAAGATCCTCCTATTTGATTACTGGAGCTTTAGGACATTGTTGAATATCTGGACAGCTAGTCCCTGCACGCACACCTTTTTCTTTAAGAATTTATTGATTATCCTTCCTGGGGATTTATTTTCTTTTCATAGTTCTCTCAGCTTATAAATTGCCATCTTTGGATGGAGATTCTCAGTTCCAAGTGAAGCTGACATTTTTAGTGCCCCCAGCCTTCCCACAGGCAACTTTCTATTCCCTCTGCCATGACATCTTGCTAGATGCTGCTTCCTGGTTCACACTTGTCCCTACCGCAGCCCTTATGGACGCTGCCCTGATTTGCCGTGTTCTTTCATCAAATAATCCTTCCTTAAAAAGTCCCAAATTGCTTGGGGCAGGGCAGGATGAGGAGGGGCTGCTATTGAGTGTGGGGTTTCTCTTTGGGGCGATAAAAGTAGTTTGGAAACAAATAGTGCTGATGGTTGCACAACCCTGTGAACGGTACACTTGCAAAGGGGGAGTTTTAGGGTATATAAATGATGTCACGAACAAAATCAAAACCACGCCCCAAACAGCAAGAGTCATTCAGCGACAGAGGAAGGATTCTTGGAGCAAACCTAAGGCTGGTTCTTAGAAATTTAGCTCAGAACCTCCTGGCAAGGGAGATGCCAGAGGAGACCCAGAGACCCGAAGCTCCCAGGGAAGGCATACCACTTTGCAGAGGGAAGGACTTGTTCTAACCGGGAGTTTTATTTATTTATTTATTTTATTTTATTTTTTTTTAAGATTTTATTTATTTATTTGACAGAGAGAGACACAGCGAGAGAGGGAACACAAGCAGGGGGAGTGGGAGAGGGAGAAGCAGGCTCCCCTCAGAGCAGGGAGCCCAATGCGGGACTTGATCCCAGGACCCTGAGATCATGACCTGAGCTGAAGGCAGTCGCTTAACCAACTGAGCCACCCAGGCGCCCCTAACCGGGAGTTTTATAAAAGATGAAGAGCCGCTCTTCCTGTCTTGTTGCCCATGCTGGCCGTTAACCCCGTGGGCGCCGTTTCTCCCCATGGTGGTTTGGGCCTCCAGGTGTTTCCAGGAGGCGCCCCTCATCCCCCGCGGCACTTGGTGTGCGCACTGCGGGGTCCACGGAGCCTCTGCGTTCGCTTTGCGAGTGCTCTTGGGCTGAAGCCCTTTTCTGGTGTTTCTCTTGTCCCCACCTAACTGACTTCTTTTCTTTCCTGACTGAATGCATCTTGGCCATGAGCAGGGCACCTCGGCTGCTCCATCCTTTTCCTCTCCAGACGCAGCCTGAGGTTTTCTTTAGAAAGTCCTGAAGTCCATCAGAGGCCGGGGCCTTCTGGGTTAGATAACAGGCTGCAGACCACCTCGGTTTTATCAGGAGATCCTCTTGGGCTTATCTCCTGGGCCAGATGGTCCGCCCGTTGCACCTTTCCACCCTGAGCTCACGCCCTTCCTGCCTCCGACCCGGACTTGTGTTTCAAGAGAATCCGTATCTGCACCTGTTCTGCCACGTCCTCCCCAGTGTGCGCGGAGCACCTCTCCCTGAGCCCCTCAGGCCCCTCGGAGCCTTGGGGTGAGGAAGCCACGGGGCGGAGGGGACGCAGTATGAGGACTGAGGGTGGAGGTGAGGACCCGCCGGCAGGGTGCACAGCTGTTCTCGGGAGGCCTGGGCGGCCTCCCCTCCCGGTGCAAGGTCATGTGTCAGCTCTCTCTCCAGTCCCTTCTGCCCCTCTGCTTCCCTCAGCATTTCTGGAAAAAGACCGTAAGCTGTGAAGTCAAAGCAAAACAATCTTACCAGCTGCCCAGGGGACGCATGACAGCTTTTGTTGAACGCTGTGTTTTCGGCCATAATTTTTAGAGGAGGTAGATGGCGGCCTCAGGAATGGGTCATCTGGAGCTTGGAAGAAGCCCACGGGCGCATTCCCACCATCCCTCTGGGGCTGCATGTCCAGCATCGGCTCCTTGGGGGCTTCATGGTGGGTTGAGCCTTGCCCTCTTGTGCCCGTCGAGCCGGTGGTCAAAGCCAGGCTTTCCATGGAAGCACAGGGGTGGGCGGACGATCCCCGTGGATGAACTTTCTCATAGGTGCAGGGGTGAGTGAGGAGGTGCAGGCACCCCTGTGAGGAGAGCAGCGGCCTAGCAGAAGGGGAGGCTCCCACGTGTGGCCCCCGCACTGTGTGCAGGCCGGCCTGTCAACACGTTCCTCCTCGTGTCAGGAAGAGGCGGACAGAGACTTCTTGTCGCATTTGCAGGGGCTACGGGTTTGGGGAGGGACAGAGTTGGCCAGTTGGTGACAGATCCTAAAAGATCTCCCCTGGCACCAACCAAGGGCTGAAAAGGACAAGGAGGAATCCCTCTGGTGAGAAGGTAGAGTCCTGCCCTAGGGTGGAAGACGCCCCCCGGAGGCTGGCGGGGACGGGGTGGGGGGGTGCGGGTCGGTGCGCCGTGAGCCCCTCGAAGGTTGTGTGAGCGTGAGCGGCGGCTCCCCGGGTGCTGAACAGGCGTGACTGCCCGCAGAACCCGGAGTAGCCCAGGGGCCAGATGGTGGGGCCAGCCCCGCCGTTCCCTCGGCCCTTCCCCAAGCGCTATGGTCACGTGTTGTGCACCCAGCATGGAGCTGGGCGGGGTCAGTTCCGGGCACCGTGTTTCAAGGTCGAGGAGTCACTTGAACTTGTACACGAGGGTGTTAGTGGATGCCCAGCCACTGGGAACGATCCGGAGCCCTGGTGGTGGTTCGCTGGGGAAGCCAAACCATGGGTGGGATGCATTTTCTCTCATGCGGGTGGCCTGGCTGGGGGAGGAGGTGGAAGGTCCAGAATGCACACCAGGACCAGTGGGTGGAAGTGATGGCAAACTTTGGGCTTCGTGTTAGGACACCTGCCCCTCGCAGGAACGGTCCTTAAAGATCTGTCTGGAAGAGCAGTGCTCCCAGCCCGGGTCTCTCTGAGCAAAGCCAGGTGGTCTCCTCTTGGGACACCAGGCAGGCTGCTGTGGGAGGCACACTGAGGTTTCTAGATTTCTTTGAGTTCCTAGAACGGGTTCTGTAGGTTGTGTGGTGTGGTGTGGTGGGGGCCCTGGCAATGCAGAGGATGCGAAGCTGTGGCAGATCAGCTCTCAGGGGCTTGGAGGCTGAGGTCCGAAGCTGGAAGTCAAGAAAAGAGGATCCTGGCTCCAGACGACACTGTCGTCTCTCACCCCCCGGAGGCAGGCTGCTGGACAAAGGGGGCCCTGCCTTCAAGGGACAGTGGCTTCCCTCAATACTTTTGGTTCTGTGAAGTCAGTGTCCTTACACGGGTTTTTTTCTCTAAGTGCTCAGCCGTGTTCTGAGCACCACCTGTGTGCCACCCAGAGCTGGGCGGTGGGAACAGGTGTTGTGGTCCCCCCTGCCCACTAGGAGATCACTGCAGTTTGGGGAAGGCCAGCCCGCCAGGGTGAAATGGCAGGAAGGAGCTCACAGGGAGGGACAGGGCAGGGGAATCAGACGGGGAGGACTAGTTGCCCTTGGAACCTCAAAGCCTTCCTATGAGATGCGTGCTGTAGGAGCGGTCGCTGTTTCTCGGGCTCTGAGAGGTTAGGGTGACCCCCCCAAGCCTCCGCTAGTCCGTGTCTAGCTGAAAGGAACATCTTGTTTCTTGCCTTACTTCTGGTGCTTTCTCCCGGAGAAGCTCGAAACTGGAGTTTGCCACCTGAGAGTATTTGCCGTCTATGGAAAATCGGGTGCGTCCACAGGCGGGTCCCACGGGTGAGCTTAGCACCCCATTCGTAAGTCCGGAAGCTGTGGCTGATCTGTGGCTTCCCCGGGAGCACGTCCTGCTCTGAGGCTTTGCCCCTAGAATCCGGATTCACCAGGAGGCAGGGCTCCCGGCCGGGTTCTCTGCCATCCACGTCCTTTGGCTCCAGGTTACGGTGGTGTGTGTGGACCGGAGTTCAGCCCATAGGTGGGTTTTGGTTGGCTGCTTCAGTGTCAGCCTGCAAGGGCTTTACGTTTTTAAAAATTAGTTGCCAACATTTACAAATCCCAGGAGGTTTCATGTAAGACCCTTGAGTTCAGGCTTTTCTAGAAAATTGGATCTTCCAATCTGGGACCTCAGTCCTCCAGAGCAGTAATCGCCCGGGAGGAAGCGCAGCTGCTTTCCTGGAGGGGGTCGAGGCCCTTCCCCTCCGTTTTCCTTTTGTTTCTCGGACGCTGAGGCCCAGCGTTGGTGGCTCTTTATCATGGCCCCTGTGCTGTTATTTATCTCATACTTTGCTTCCTTCCTTGATTTACCTCCTCCCCAAACCCCAGAGACACTCATCCTGAGACCAAGGCCTTCATGATTTCTTATGTCTCCAGACTAACTCGACTACGTTGTGATCAAGGTTAGGCCTAATTACCGGCTACTTTGGGGAGCTTCTGGGTTCCCAGAGCACTGCGTCCATACCTGTGTTCGTCAGTTCCTAACATAGCCATGTCCCAGTTCAGGCGTCATCTGCTTCCTTCCTTTGAAGACGCGCTCATGGCGACCAGAGCCACGTTGTGGTCATTGTCTTCACTGTAGCGCTGAGCCAGGGCCGTGCTATCAGTCACGTTTACTGAATCCGATTACACCCAACAATCATCTGGCCGCCCCTATGACAAGTGTGACGGAAATGGTTTCCTGGAACATGAAAATGAGATTGCTCTCTATTATTATTTCCCAGATCACCAAGCCTAGGATGATTTGGTTTTGGATTTTGCTCCTGAACCTAATCATTTTGGAAGTCCCTCCTGTGCTGGAAGGCTCAGCCTCTCTGGAGGGTTTGATGGCTTGCATTCGTGCTTAGAGAGGTGCAGGGGGAGGCTGCTGTATCCTTGAAGGGGCGAGATCACACTTGTCTGTCTGCACGCTGCAGAGCTGCTGGGACAAGAAGGGCCCCGGGCCCTGGGCACTTCCAGTGCCTACCTGCTGACCATCTAGTATCTGGCATGCATGTCTAGCTCGCACAGTCATGGGATCGAGGACTGAGCAACGTTCACCATGAGTGGGCAGGGCTTAGAATCAAATCTGGCATAACTGAGTCCAAGAAGAACATTAAAAGTATGACTAGTCTGGGGTGCCTGGTGGCTCACTTGTTAAGCGTCTGCCTTCGGCTCAGGTCATGATCGCAGGGTCCTGGGATAGAGCCCCACATCGGGCCCCCTGCTCAGCGGGGAGCCTGCTTCTCCCTCTCCCTCTGCCTGCCGCTCTCCCTGCTTGTGCTCTCTATCTCTCTGTCAAGTAAATAAATAAAATCTTAAAAAATATATATATGACTAGTTCGAAAAAAGCCATCTTTTGAGAAGAGATTGTCTATTGTCCTGATAATGGATGGGGACCACACGGAGCTGATGTGGACAAATCCCCAGCAGCCAGGCAGGTCAGACTTGAGGAGGACTTTCTGTTTAATGCAGAGACGACGTTCAAGGCGACCACCGCCACCCACCTGGAAATTGGCACAGGCTTGGCCCGGGGATGCCAGGTGCCCGGGAGAGCGTGGAAACCTTGGACATGTTAATGTCCGTCACATGACTCGGCCACAGAAAAGGACCACGTGGACATCTATTTTTTTAGACATGGAAAGATGTTCATAAAGCTAGTTGAAAGAAGCAGGGTGTAGAACAGTAGTACAAACCCATGTTTTGTTTTTTGGTTTTTTCTTAAAATCCCATGGACACACATTTATCTGTGTGTGTATGAACTTGCGTGTATAAACTTACGGGAGGGGATGCCCATGCTCATTCTCTGAGTGATGGGGTTTGGGATGATTTTAACTTTTTTCTTGGTCCTTAACATTCCCGTTTTTTCCCCCAATGCCCGTGTCTTCCTCCTTGTGGTAAAGTAACAAAGGGGTGAGGCCGGGGCGCATGTGGGGTCGCAGTGGCCCCGCTCCCGTGGCGGGAGACGCCCATATCAGGCCACGCGTGCAGCCACCACCAGGCAAGATGGAGCTGTTGATAGAGGCATGGATTTCATTTCTGGAGTGTCTCAGCAGCTTTGGGAGGACGGGTCAGACCCGTGGGGGCCAGTCTGGATCTGTCAGCCGCCGGATATTAGCTGCTTGGGTGCTGGCCCCAGGGCTTCTCTCCTCGGTTCTAATCACCATCATGGTGTCTGACAATTATTACTTTTTCTAACACTTGACTGATAATCAATACTGATAAGGTGTCCTTTTCATAAATTTACAGGCATTGCTTTCTTGCCAGCTAGCATCTCTTATCTCATTGGAACCAATATTTTTGGGATGCTCGCACACAAAATGGGGAGGTAAGATGAAATGCGAACAGCGCTCACTCTCTTAGAACAATGTAGCTCTTTTAAGCAAATTCTGCATGTTTCTGCCTTAGTTATCACAAGCAATTGTTTTAATTTCTATTGAAAAATTGGACTGGGGAAAAAATCGGAGCGGTCATTTATTGAAGGTGCTTTTTTTGTTTTCTTGGTAGGTGGCTTTGTGCTCTTCTAGGAATGATAATTGTTGGAATCAGCATTTTATGTGTGAGTAAAAGATATTTGACAAGTGGTAATGGTCTGTAAATAAAACTTTTGTTTTGGGCCAGGATCCCCAGGAAACCTTTTACAGCTGTTTAAAGTTTGTTGATATTTGGTTTTATGACATCTCCCATTTTCCTCTAATTTTTTTGTCATCTTAAACACTTTGGACAAGATTTTCCAAAGAATATATTTTCATTTTATGTCAGTTGGAGGTTCTGTAGTATATTTTGTTACATAGTGTAAATGTCACTACTCCCTCATCATTTTAAACATTATAGTGTCTTAAAACACTTTCAGACAACTAGCCTGAAACAATAGCAAGATGTTTTTGTAGAATAAAACACCTTCTACCAATGGCCCGTATCTACCGCAGGTGAGGCCTTCTGGTTCTTGTCAAAGTGGAGTGTGGTCCAGGCTGATCTCAACTATGGCAGTCAGCGAGTTTTCCTTGGTGGTCGCAAAAACCCATTTCAGCTTCAACTTTTAAAGACTCGGAGGTCCCAGTTCTCCCCAGACAGCACCCTCTTCCTTTCTCCCATTTCTTTCAGAAGGAAACATGCACACCCAGGCCAGAGAAAACATGTCTTTAAGGTTTTCCCAGAAGATTTGCAGTTGGATATCACGATTCTCGTGTAATGTTTATTTCCTCTTACAGATTCCTTTTGCAAAAAACATTTATGGACTCATAGCTCCCAACTTTGGAGTTGGTTTTGCAATCGGTAAGTTGCATAACCTTATGCCTAAATTTGAAACTTTGTTTTCCCCACAACTAAGAAAGATCTCCTCTTATTTGGGCAGACTGTAGTTTCTCAACCTAAAATTTCTGGAAGCTTGAGAGGAGGCTGTGGGCAGCCACGTTCAAGTACAGCCTGACGATTATCTGTAGATAGATACCTGCTTCTGCATACTAGTCCTTTATTTCCAGAAAACCAGTATTTTTAAAGGCCTGATATTTACAGAAGCAAACGGATACTCCATTGCTGCCCTTGGGCAAACAAGAGAATCCCTCGCTCGGAGCGCGTTTGTTTGGGCTCAGGTCTGTGCACGGAGCTGCTCCTATGAACCGGGGTGGGGTGGGGCCAGAGACCTCACATGTATTTTCTGTGAGGTTTGGTACAGGAAGGGTGAACAGAGATCTCGATCACCACCGTGCTGCGGGACTTCTCACCGGCAAAGGGGACGAGTCTGTAATGGGAAGAATAGTCACATGTTAGGAACAATCTCGTGAACGTTTTTGATAAATAGCATGCATTTGTTTCTCATTTGTAATATACAGATGGGGCCTAATAAAAGTAAATGCAAATCTATCACAAGCTAAAGGCAAGAATTGAATCTTTGGTACCGTGGAAAGAGAGAAGGGAGCCTCTGCGACTCCCCGGGCTGGGTTAGGTTTGTCCTCACACAGCACCTCATGGTGTTCGTGACACAGCTGTGATTCACGTTTCAGCTTTTTGCGGCCCGTCCGCCCCTTCTGTCCACGTTGTTCACCCCATGGCCCCAGCACCCTCCACATGTTAGGGGATCAAGGAATACGCATTGAATGAAAGAAACTTCCCTCCTCTTCTTGCTGCTAGTCCTTGGTGGGGGTGAGGGAGCTAACTTTGGAGTACCCCGCTGGAGGGGTCCACGGATGATACAGCCTCATTTTAGCCAATCATCATCTGCACCATTTTATGGATGGGGAAGCCAGTGTTTGGAGAGAGAAGGAATGGCTGTGCTCACCCCGCCAGGGACTTGAGGCCAGGACTCAGCACACATGCTCTTTCTTTATGCTTCCTGTCCCTGCCTGTTGAAGGAACAAGAGATTATAATACTGGCCTTGGACGTGGTGTTTGTTTGAGCCCCAAATCAGACCTCTTTCAGTCTCTTCCCTGAGCAGGGCAGGGTGACCTCTCAGACAGCTTCATGTTCTGATTCCTTCCCATCTTCCCTGATACTTTCCAGCTTCTTCTTATGGTCTGCGTGTGAGGCTAAGCTGTGGATGAGGATGGGGGTGTGTGAGGTTTGTAGGTGTGCCCCTGGGTGAGGGCAAGGGGCCAGTGGGCCGGAAGAGAGTTAATCTGGAAAGCACCAGCTGGGAGCAAGTAGGAGGGCCACACAGCTGGTAGCTGGCACCCCACTGGATGTGAAGCCTGGTCTGTGAGTCACCGGAGGACTGGGGGCCCTCCCCTGGAAGATGGGCCCTTCAGACCATAGAGGACAGGTGAGGTAAGGTGGAGAACAGGCAAAGGTGGCCTGGGTTCCAGTCCCAGCCTCAGTGACTGGCAGTCTGTCTTCAGTGAAGGGTATGCCTCAGGCAGCCTGCCTTGAGACTCACAGGTGGTGATGACCACTGGGGAAGAGCTGGTGGGGTTGTGAGGTTAGGACACATCCCCGATATTCCCCACATTTTTGGGTTACATCCGTTTTCCATAGACCATGTTCCCTGACTGTCCACAGGAATGGTGGATTCATCAATGATGCCCATCATGGGCTACCTGGTCGACCTGCGGCACGTGTCTGTCTACGGGAGCGTGTATGCCATTGCGGATGTGGCCTTCTGCATGGGATATGCCATAGGTAAGGACGCTGGCTCTTCAGAACAGTGTTTTAGCTTAATGCATGATCATGCTGATTGAAAATTATTTAAACTTTTGTATCTTCCTATCTGTGAGACATCTGGAGAGAGGTCGATCTAATTCTCTGTTTCCTGAAAGGTCCTTCTGCTGGTGGGGCTATCGCAAAGGCAATCGGATTTCCATGGCTCATGACCATTATTGGAATAATTGATATTCTTTTTGCTCCTCTCTGCTTTTTTCTTCGAAGTCCACCTGCCAAGGAAGAAAAAATGGTAAGAAAATTTTAGGCCACAGTCAAGTGTTTCTTTTTTTTTTTAAAGATTTTATTTATTTATTTGACAAAGAGAGACACAGCGAGAGAGGGAACACAAGCAGGGGGAGTGGGAGAGGGAGAAGGAGGCTTTCCGCCGAGCAGGGAGCTCGATGCGGGGCTCGACCCCAGGACCCTGGGATCAAACCTGAGCCGAAGGCAGAAGCTTAGCAACTGAGCCACCCAGGCGCCCCAGCAGTCAAGTGTTTCTTGATCATTTTAGCATGGTCTTCTGGATAGTTTCTTCATGGCTGAATTATAAAATATGTTTCCGCTCCTTTTGGACAGAATTCCCCAAACATAAATGGTCAAAGTTCCTTTTGAGTTTATACCACGTGGACCATAGTTTTTTTTTTACTATATCAAGCATTTCGTTTGTAAATGTGAAGAATGAAATGACTTTTATACATATGTTAGGAGTCTGTGTAGCTCTTTTGTCAACCAGACATGGGGTAGTTCAATGTAATTTTCTTCAGTTCTTGAAAATCTTGGATATTATTTTTTTTGCCTCCTGTGCCGAGTCCTAAGATTAGCCATTTTTGGTGCCGTTTGCTTTTCTCCTGAGCCTTACAGCTTTCACTAATAGTGTTTTAGTCCTTACTGCAAAAGATTCTGGAGATGGTTTTGGTGTAGATAACAGAGCATTTTGGAAAACTATCATATATGTACCTCTGGGCACACAGGGGCATGTCTAACCTTTAAATTCACAATTTTATACCCAGAACCGTAACTAGATGAAAGATATAGAATTGAGTATGAGGTGTTCCTCTTCTGAACAGATTCACTTATTGATTCTAAACTTGAATTTTGAAATGCATTAGTCGTGTTAACCTGACAGCCTTCATACGTGGTGATTGGAGTTTTTAAAAAACCTCCCATGGTGACAGATTCTCATCCAGCTGGAAGAAGAGTGGTTTAGATTAAGAATGAATGAGATAACCAAGGCAGGGAGAGACCGTATTTTTGTGATTATGAGGTTCACTTGTGATGTTCTCTTGGGGGTACATCCAAAGTTCTTTCTGACGGTTGAACTGAAATGGGTCTTGATGCTTTGGCATTTCTCGAACTGCCCTTTTATGATTTTCCCCAAAGAGTGGGTTTAAAAACAGACACAGATTCTAAAGTTAGGCCATGTGCAGCCTTTATTTGTTTGGAGCATTCTTTGTATTCATTAATTCCTTCAATATATTTAAAAAATATATTCTGCATTGGGCACTGGTCTTATGCCCTTTATTATACAGGATGTAAAGTGGTAATTTTGAATCACTCAGGACCCGTTCGATGCAAAGAAAAGGAGTGGAAGGTGTTGTGGAAATATCCCGGTGGAAACCACCCTTTCTTCCTTCCTCTTGCTTAGATGCTGAACAACCATAGTGCTTTATTGATCATCTGACCTGTCTCCCGGCCTGACCCCCACACAGTGCCTTGCCCAAATCAGGATCAGAAAATTCTCAGTGCAACAACTAAAAACTGTCATTCTGTTGCCCCCATATCAATTTGATTAAGGCTGAAGGAAGGTTACTCCCAACCCTTTTTGACCAACAAAAGACAAATCACCTACGAATGCTCCTGTCACCCAGGAGACTGTTTACGATTCTTGGGAGATAGTGAAGGGCTGGCATGGCCCTGGAGTCAAACTGTCCCATGAGGAAATGACCGCGTCTGCCTCACTGGCTGGCTGGGAGCATTCGGAGGAGAATCCCACAGGGTGCTTAGCCCCGTGCTTAGCACACAGGAAATGTTCATTCAGCAAATGTGTTACTATTTCCAGTACCACCCTATACTTCTTTCTTGCTTTTACTGAATGCTCTGATTTACTCTCCGCCCAGAGGGCCCCTGCTATTGTCCCTTTGTCCCCTCTGTGAGGTGAGTGCTTCCTTTGGCTACTGAGACCCCAGGACTGCTGAATGGGTTTCCCTGGCCAAGCAGCGGACGTTAGTGGCTGTTGGGTTATCTGTGTGTCGGCAGCAGCACGATGGCTTATCTGGGGCGTCGGAGGAAATGAGCGAGATGAGCGAGGTCCGAGGATGAGCTGGGGGATCAGCCTGCCCACCAGCTGCCACCGTGGGGTCCACATGACGCCGGGCAGGGGGCAGGCCCCTGGTGCCTCTTCTCTTCCCTCATGTAAATCCGTGCTTTAGTTCACTTGACAATGCCCAGGAAGTGAAAGGGACGATCTTGAGAGGCAAAGCAACAAGAATTGCAGGCTTCCAGAAAGCCACTCTCACTGTAAAATGTCAAAATCCTTAATGCATGCCTAGCAAGAGGAATCCTTAAAAACTTGAGAAAACGCGCATCTCGCCGCCCGTAATTGCTGCCCGTGATCGAAGGTATCACACTGGATTCCGTTTGCCCCATGGGATGGTAGCCTTTGTGGGTGGCCGGCGGTGGCTGCCTACTCACGGAGCAGGAAGCAACCTAATGATTGGGGTGGGGGGTGAGGCCGGGCTGGCAGTGTGCCACGGAGGGGACAGAAGTGATTACTGCCCGCTTGAGAAAATCCAATCCCAACCAGTGCTGGCGTTCAGGATGAGCGGTTATCAGATGCAGATGGGGACAGGAGAGCCTGAAGAAGGCCTATAAACCGTAGCAATTAATTTTCATTAGGCAACGCTCTGATAGCGAGGCATTTGGGCTTCAGCTATTTTATGTTGAAGGATCAAATGCTGTTTTCATGGGTCCCCAGCCGGAGAATCATGAACTAGTTTGTGAGCACTTGAGTGTTTTTTTCTATTTGGTGTACTTGATTTCCTTCTTTCTTCCTTTCCTTTCCCTTTCCTTTCCTTTCCTCTCCCTCTTTCTCTTTCCCTCCCTCCCTCCCTTTCATAAGTACAGAGGGAGAAAAAAACCTGTTTGTTACTCAGGTCCCTTTGCAAGTATAAGAAACATCCACTCTGCCATGTGAGGACAATTGTGTTTTAGGTACACGACAATGACATGCAGCCTGTGATTCTCAGAATACCCAGTTGAGAACAGCTGTGTGCTGGTATGGATATTTTTTCAGGTTGAAGAATTATTTTTGAAGATAGGGCACGTTTCTTACATCTTACTCTTAAAGTTTCTGGTTGTGGGCCAGACAGGAAGGTCGGTGTTTGAGATCGCAGCTTGTTTTCCTGGGTGACTCTTGGCTCTCTCATAGTTGTTTCCAGAGAGTCCTTCCTGCTACTGTTTCCTGAATGCAGGAGCCAGGCAAAGACCTGCATGTTACAATCTATTTACAGAAATGTGTCCCTTTGCAGGGCATTTACATAGTGGGTATGCACAACCATCACTAAATTTTTTTTTTTTTTTTTTTTTTTTAGATACAGTAAATAAAACTTTTCAGCATACAGGCCTGGTGTATCTCAAAATCTCCAAGCCTGGAGGGGCTTATGCTTCAATGCTTTTCCTGAGTATCCTGCTGTGTATTTAATTTATATACGTCATTTGGTCCAACAAGGCTTTTACCACTTTGGAGAGCCTCACTCTGCTCTGTGTCTGGTAGGAAGCCAGGCGCTTGGCAGCGGTTCAGTTCTCAGTAACTGGGCTCTGCTCGGAATTCAGACGCCCTCCTCCTTCCTCTGTTGTCTTCGGTGGAGAGTCCGACACACCTTGCTCCCCAGCAGAGTGCTGGCTTAAATTACCTGGCGGCTCCATGAGCCGCGCTCCTCGTGGCCCCTGTGCGCGCGCCTGACTTACCCACTCTCTCCTGTTCACCCCTCTCTGTCCCTGGCTCTTTGGGAATATTACAGATGCCGTCTGGCTTATTTGATCACGTATAACTTGTTATAAAAGCAGATGTCACACATTCTTTCAAAAGAGGTTCGGAAGCCAGTAAGCTAGGTTTTAAAAGCTACAAAGCAATATTTCAAGAAAGAAAACTTACTTATCTGGAATAGGCTTTGGGTGCAAATGTGATTTGGCTGCACTGATAACTTCTGACCACTGAAGTCTGTTTGATGCTCCTATCATCAGTCTGAACCTCCCTTGCAACACAGCTGTTTGAGTCCGTACCAGGTGCCCAGTGTTAGGTTTCGGGGTCCTTAAGAAGTCTACATATATGCAGAGTCAGGTCTAAGGGGGGTGAACCAAGAGAGGGCCGTTATGAGAGGGGTAGAATGATGGCCATCCTTCCCAAGGCTCTTGCTGCCTGTGGGTCAGGGATCGAGGCCCCCTGCCTGGCATCCAGGGCCCTGCAGTCTGGTTCTGGTTGGTCTTTCTAATGAATGTCTGTGTACCTCAACATCAGACCTCTGTGGTGGTCAGGCTGGCTCACTTAGTGTCTCTGTTTTTATTTTATTATTTTTATTTTCTTTTTGAGAGAGAGAGAGAGTGAGCAAGTGTGCTAGTTGGGGGAGGTGGTCAGAGGGAGAGGGAGAGAGAGAAGCCCAAGCAGACTGCTCGCTGAGTGTGGAGCCCAATGTGGGGCTCAATCCCATGACCCTCTGAGATCATGACCTGAGCCGAAATCGAGAGTCAGCCGCTTAACCGACTGAGCCACCCAGGTGCCCGTGGCCCTGTTTTACATAGTGGCTCGTTGAGTAGATAATTCATACTGTGCTCACAGCTCCTTTGCTGTGCCCATCCTTCCCATCCTTCCAGGTTCAGCTCGTGCCCCATCTCCTCCATACGGCTGTCCCTGAACACTTCACCCACCTGTGCATGCTGTGGGACCTGTCTTTCCCTTGCGGGGAAGTCACGGAGGTGCTGGGATAGGACCTTAGGGGGACAGCAGCAGGTGCCCAGCAGGCTGTTGGTAGCCATTCGGCTCTGCTGTAGTTCTAGATAATACCGTATCACCAAGGCAGTGCTTCTCATAGCATGTTGACACCACGGTCGTGAAGGGTTAGGGACCTGAATTTCAGGTTTAACCCCCCCACCCCCAGGTGATTATTGTGCATGTTTGAGGATCACTACCCTGTAGAGGTGAGACATTGAGATCTTTGGAGGTTAAACCGTTTGTGTAACAAGGATACATCCATATGGGGAGAATGGTCCTTGTGGACAATGTCTGTTGCATCAGTTACTGAGTTTTGGAAATTGAGCTCTTTATTAAATACATGTATTAATTCACTTGGCACGAAGCATAAAAAAAAAAAATTAAATTTGCAGCTGATGGTTTGAGCTGGCAGCCTGACTTAGAGGGTCAAGGAAGTCATTATCTTAACATGTCACCCAGGCAGATCATTTTAGAATTTCTCAGGAAATGATAAATGGGTTAGCACTGAGTGGAGTCACAGAAGTTATCAAATGTATGGGGCAAGACCTGGGGGGCGTAGCTGACGAAACACCGAGATAGGTTGCCGTAGACCAACATGAGATAAATTTTAACAGATAAATGTTTCCAAGTAGATTTTCATGCTGCATAAAAAGGTATTGGGGGAATAGTTTATGTGGAGGAAGACTCCAGAAGGCACAGCTGGTGGGAGAATCCGTTAGTTGTACCCAGTGCTCTGTTCCCTGTCCCCCCCCGCCGCCGCCAGCAGGAACAGACTTCGGCACAAGGCCATCTGGCGCACATCTGCCCCATTGTAGCTGTACGTCCCATGGTCATGTTCTTTAATTGCTGTGCCTACGCAGGGGGTTATGGGCCTACCACCTAGGGCGCTCGTGAAGCTGAGGTCTTGCAGCAAGGCTGCCGGCACAGGCCTGGCAGGATCAGGGCAGCTGTATTCTCAGACAGCGGGCTTGGTCTGCACATGTTCAAGAGGAATAATGATTACCAGGACTTACTAATTGAGGATCAATGGGCTGTTTTTCAGTAACAATGAGAAGGCACACGATTTGTATGTTCATGACACTGTCTGTGTTTTGTTTTAAAACCTCCATTTGAGCAAGAGGAAAACACCCAGGATTTGGGGAGAGGTGCCTGGAAATGCCATTTATGAAGACAGGGGCCCTGTGAGGAGTGTAGGGAAACCTAAGGGGCCAGGGCAGTGGTCTTAAAATATCAGGGCAGTCTGTGAAGATGGCTCGAATCTGAACCAGATCCACGTAGAGAAACAAGGGAGGCAGTTTAGTCTCAGGTACATTTGCAAGAGGAGTCCACCTCATTGAGGGTATGTTGCCACAGTGAAATCCATGCATAGCAATTGGACTGGGTGACCTCCAGGATTCCCACCCGCTTCTCACCCCAGCCCCAATTCCAAGATTCTAAATAGAACTCTTCCTAAACGTGACCCGCATAGCCCTTGCTTCATGGCTTGCAGGTTGCCCCGACTGGACTTCACGGCCCTGGGGGAGACCATGGCTGCCGTCTCTCGCCTGGAACCCTCCCGGAGTGTGGAACCCCGGGGCTTCGGGGCCAGGCACCCGGCAGTTGCACCGAAGGACTGGTTGACAGCGGGTGGTGCTAGATACAGCTTTCCAACTAGTAATTCTTAAAGATGGTAGGTTAAAACCATCTTCTCTTTATGAAACAAGGTTACTATATCTGCACTTTGCTCTCTTTCAGGCTATTCTCATGGATCACAACTGTCCCATTAAAACAAAAATGTACACCCAGAATAATATCCAGTCGTATCCAGTAGGTGATGATGAAGAATCTGAAAGTGACTGAGATCCTCAAAAGTCTCAAAGTATTTATTGTATAAAACCGTGTTTCCAGAAGTGAAATGACTCCTCCGGAACAGTCTTAGTCCTACCATTCATCCCTGGTGAAAGCAAAACAACCAAAGGTTATTCATTCTTCTCCATGGTTGTGATTGATTGCCAACAGCCTTATAAAGAAAAAGCAGCTTTTCTAGGGGTTTGTATAAATAGTGTTGAAAACTTTATTTTACGTATTTGATTTTATTAAATATTGTACAATATATTTTGACGAAATAGATATAGTGTAAATCTATAAATATTTGAATCCAAATCAAATATAATTTTTAAAAAACTTACATTCATGAACACTTGGGCAAAAAAATCTATTTTTTCTGAATATTGGTAATGAGTGTTTAAAATGAAAGCACACATTATCTCCAAGACACTTCCAACACTGAGAAACTAGAAGGAAGTCTGAAAAACAGAATCAAGTAAGACAGCATATGATGTTGTGACACAGTGTGGTTAACTTGTAATTACTATCAATATATTTCTGAGCTAAAAGCTAGTTATCTCAGATGCAGAGGACAGGAAGTTGAGTCTGTCATCTTTTGGACTTACCCATAATCGTGGCTGGCATTAGTTTTCTACAGAATCATCTACCTGGAAACAGATGGTTGTAAATTATGTATTTACATGTCGTGTGGCGGGCAGCAGACACTAAAGCCAACAGGGAAAATAGTAAATGTTCTGAAAGCAGAGAAAAGCACCCGGAAGTATAGTTATGAACAACTAGCTTTCCCTTTCTAGTATATATTTGATTGTCTTAGGATGAAAAGAAAATTGAGGGTAGATTCACCTTATACTGTCGAGGTTGTTTAAGCCTAAGATATATTAACTTTTAGAAATTTAGTTCAACTTTTAGAAACTTAAAAGGCTAATAGCTGCTAGGATATGAAAAAAATCTGACCTTTGACCTGGTAAGAGGTCATCCAAGTGTCTTTTAGGAATCTATTAAGTTTTGAATTGCAACTATTATTTTTTAGACTTCTGAAGGTTGTTCACATTAATGTGAAAAATTTTAAACGAAGATGGAGGAGGAATGAAATTATCTTGAATCACATTAGGAAAACAGGTAAAAATAATAGGTCAGGACACATTCCCTTTCAAAGACAGAAAAACCCTAGAAACATCTAGAAATGTCTGTGTATTCTTCTATCATCTAGTGCTGTATAATGTGGTTTTTCTAAGCATGACAACATTGACGTGCCTTTTCAATTTAACAGCAAATACTGTGTTAGCACTGTCAGTTGCCATCAGGTTTTGTATGAGATGTGATTGGAGTGTGCAGATAGTGTAGAATGTCTCAGATAATACTTGTAAATTCTAGAGTTCTGCAATCAACAAAAATTACCTAATGTCTGTATTTTGTTAGCTAAAATTGTGTTTCTGTTAACTTGGTCAAGGAGCAAAGAACTTTAGAACAAGGACTCGACCTCTAAGAGAGTAGCTGGTACTTTCTTTCCATTTGCTTTATGAAGCTTCTTGGAGTGACTTGAAATCTGGTGTTCAAGTGCAGTGTGGTGGAAGCAAACAAGTTTCCTATTCACATATTTGCACCGGGCAACTTACAAATCTCTGATAGCACTTTCATATGGCTAACGTAAACCATCAGGATTGTTCTCTACTCCCACAGGGGAGACCCTTCAAGAACGTGCTGCAGATCAATTCTCTTAGAGGGTTGGTGGCTCTCCCTGACCACAATACTGTATGATTTACTCCAATTTCATTCTTGCCTTTAAGGCTTCAGTCTCTTCAAGAATGACTGGCAGAGGCATGCCCACTGTTGATCTCTAGAAAGAACGTAAAAGACGTGAGTGTTTCAGAACTGTTTTGGGAGCAAAAGTATCAATTATATCTGACTGAGGGGGAAAATTACAAGGTCTTTTATTAGGACTAAAATTCTGGCCTTAGCAAAACTGTGAAGTGAGGCTTTTTTTCTCAGTGTATCAGAACCGTGAACATACAGCTCCCTGAATGTTTTTTTGAGCAGAGGTGGGTTTGTACCTGGCAAAACAGATACAAAATTGTTACTGAGGTAGCAAAGAATATTCAGTTCTTTCTTCTGACTGCTAAGTGTATGTGCATACTTGTTTTAGCTAGTTTCCTTAATAAATCTTCTGAACACTACTGTGCCTGTTTGTATTCCTTTATAAACCAGACATCGTTGGAATAAAATGCATAATGTATTGACTGTGAATATCTAATATCTAATTAAAAACTATTCTTTTCTGCTTGCAGGCATCAGGTAAAAATTCAGGTTAGTCTGAACCCTACTTTTTGGCTTTGCAAAATTGGCTTTAAATTGAAATCTGTAACTAGTCCCATGGCGTCAATGTGGAAAAGCCCAGTTAAGTTACCCTTGCATTTCTAAAGTTAAATTGCTTTCCTGACTGTCGTGAACAAATAACCATATATGATGGAAGTAACTAAGCTCTTCCACATGGTGAGCCCACAGGGCCCTGGAATCTAGACAACTCAGGGTGTGTACGTACGTCTCTTTCAGGCATGAGACTCACAGGCACGAGAATCGCAGTTTTACTCAGATCTTAGAGGGGCTCTAAACCTTCCCCAAGCCTTCTATTAAAAGAAAGCTATTATCTCAATTTAGAAAAAAAGACAATACATTTTCAAAGTGATTTTAAATTTATTCACTTTTAGGGAAATTAAGATCTTTGTAATCAGGAGCCAAGTATTTTCAAACTGCCTTTCAAAAAATCGAGATAAATTTAGAGCTTGACAGTACCCTTCAATTTTCAGCTTGTTTTCTCTTCTCAAATCATAAAATAGCCAATAGTATTTCAGCTATTCTGATACTTGAGTATAGGACTTAATATTAGGAAATGTAGCATATTAATTCTGATTCCAAAATAATGCTAAAATATTGTTCAGCGTGATTGTTTAACCTAGTTCTTCACCTCACCTAAATACCAGAAATACAGAAAATAGTCTAATTCCTAATAAATAGCAGGGCCGATCCATATATCTGAGATTTCACAGCTTAGAAAAAACAACAGTAAAACCAGAATTTAATGCTTTTAGGCAAATTTCAAAAGAGCAATTTTGTTTAGCAAAAGTGGACTTTGTGAAGAGCTTGTTTGCATGGCCAAATTCAACCAGGCGGTAATTCCAGAGATGTAGCAATCACCTCTTTCAGATGTTAGCAAATGAAGATATTCTTGTTTTCTGTGGTAGTTCTTTTTATTATTTTTTAGCTATTGATAACATAGCATGGCAGCAAGATTACATCAGGAATGTAGGAGAATACAACTGTTTTCAAGGAAGCCTCACACCTCACTACCCCCTAGGCTATTTGGAGTGACCCCCTCCCCCCCACTAAAGCACAACTGTGATGCTTCTAATGCCTGTCCGAGTAGATAGAAAAATATTGCACTACATTAAAGGTAGATTTTACAAATATCATTAGCAGCATTACTGAGCTTTTCATAACTGTGGTTCTACAGAGTTAAATACTTTTAAAACAGGAGATTTTTATGAACCAAAATTTTGCGTTATTTCTGCAGCTCTTTCAAACGCATCGGTTTCAGCAGCATGCTTGGATGTCACTAAAACTCCTGTGGTGTCATCCATCCATACACACCAGCCACTTACAGACACTGGCCTTCCAGGTCATCACCGGTAAGTTATTTTTCATAAGATAAAAGTTGGTTATTACATTGGGCAGATTGTTTCAAGCACATGTTACAGAACTTTTTTTTAGCTTTCAGAGTAGGTGTATAAAGACTTCTACAGCAGTGTTCTTTTAAAATGCAAACATGCTTAATACAAAAAAGGGGATACACAGATCTATTTTTGTTATAAACTTGGCCAATAAAGGTACTTCCTAAAGTTCACTTAATAAAAGTAGAATAACTCCTCTACCTTCAAAAAATGTTTTTGTCCCCCATTTGAGTCATAGCTTTTCTTGAATAGCTTTTTACTGTTCAGAACACTTCTGCAGTTCTGTTGTTCTCCTCACAACAATCCTGTGAGGTAGTTAAAGTATTGTTTATTCCTACTTTGGAGCTGGGGAGACGGCGGCATGGAAGCCGCTTGTGATTATAAAGTTCATTAATGGCCAGTGGAAGAGCTTGACCTTTAACTCTTGCCTGGAGTTCTGGGCTCTAAACCTGGGCCAGAACCCTCACTATTACATCTTACACTATGCCTCTTCCTGCCGGCCATCGAAACTGTCCCACCTACCTTTAAATTCATGTCAATCTTTAGTATATGTCATTTATCACAGTAGTTACCTATAAGAGGAAAATAGACCTATAAAAGGCCAAAACTTTCATGGTATACCAACAGAGGTCATGCTCACACGTTTTCCCTCAGTCACATGTTACTGGGGTCCACACAGTGGACCGAGTATTGGAATAGATCTTTATTATCAGAGAACTGATCCCAATTCCTACGTATCTATACTGTTTTTATTTTTTTTTAAACAAAAGACTGAACTATAGACGTGTTCAGAATGACCACCATTCCTTCAACCTGCAGCATGTCAATCTATCTTGCATGATTCCTTTCCTTTATGACATCCTCCTGCATGAAAATGTTCCTAAAACAAAACAGCCAAACCCAGTTATCAACACGGTCATTTTAAGAACAGTCCTCTGAAACTTTATCCTTGACATGCTTTATTTCCCATGGGAGAACTGAAGATGAAAAAAATCAAATGTTCAGAACTTCCATTTAAAAGGAGAAAGCATCCACATTTCGAAAGATTTTATTTCAAAATCCTACTGGTTACTGTTTTTTTTAGTAATCTTCTCTACAAAATTCTTGACCAACTGCATTCTCTATTTCCTATTACATTTGGTTTGTCAATGCAACCTCTTCAAATTAATAACTGTATTCTCACTAAAACTGCACAAAAACTAGAAAATTCACAGGATAGAAAGCAAGCAATATACGTAATTTTTTTTTTTTTTTTTACTGATCAGTGTAACTGACTAAAGCCGCAGCATCTGCTTTTATGTTACATTTGGCAAAAACAAAAAATCACCCTCAAAACCCCAAAGTAACAAAAATTTCAAGCAAGTAGAGATGACAAACTTCCTAACACGAAGATTCAAAACCTGTTCCCTCAATGATTGCCGTTGTCAATTTGGGCATGCAGCAAACTTGTTATAACCGTGATGGAAATGAAAAGACTTCAAGAATTTGGACAGTATCCTATTTAACACTCATTCAAAACTAAATGAAGGAAAGTAACACAATGAGACATCACACGTACACATAAATATGAAAAGTTAGCTTACATAATTACATAATTAGAAAAAGTTAAAAATAAATTAGTAAAAATAAATTCCCAGTATAAACCCAAAAACGCATAGCTATAAATGCAATCTGAAACAACCAATTTAGTGAGCTGGTCATGTTTTTGCTGGAAAACAACCTCTTTTCACTCTTGTTCTTACACAAGCAAATGGCTGTGGAGAAGCAGGCCGAAGTGCATTAGAAGAGGGCTTACATGTGGGTTATCTGTGGTACTTGAGATGCAACTTTTCCCCAATCACTCGGACAGTTTAAATAGGCTGTTAAACAGACTCTGATGGGCCAAATAAGTCCTCTGATATGTTGCTGAATGGCTGGGAGTCTATTAGTTGGGTTATTTCATTATCGAGGTCTTCTTCTGTATCATCTGTGTACTTGCTTATTTTTTTGGAGTGCTGGTCTAAAGACAGACTTTCTAAAGATTCAAGATCTTCAATGCCCGCTCTGTAGTGGATCATGAGAAGTGTTAGAGCTTGTAGTCTTTCACTTGATTTAGACAAAGCAGCAGAAAGAAGGGATTTTTTCCTTGATTCAGTTGCTTCTTTTTCTTCTCTAACAAGGGAATTATTATGTTCCAGCTCCTGGTCAATTTCGTTCTGCAGTTTATCCAGCATGAACTCTAGTTTCTGGATCCTCTCCTCTGTAGGCAAGCCCCTGTACAGATCACGGCCGATTTCTTTAACTGCAATGAAAACACTGTCGTCCAGACCACCATCCTTCCTCACCAACTTTATTCCTGTGTTGTTTCCCCGCTTAGAAGGACTGTTCGGACCACAGACCTCGGTGTCACTGCCTTCGTTGTCTGATGTGTTGGGTGTGTGTTTTGGTGAAGGTTCCACTAGATCAGTTCCTGGTTCAGAAAGGCGAGTTTTAGAGACTTGGCGCAAATTTAACAAACGAGAGCTCGTATTGATGATGTGTCTTGTCAGACCTGTTGTTTTATTGACTGACTTGCTAGCTTCAGCATCAATCCGAGGAGGCAGGCCTAAGAAGGTTTCTTGTCCTTCCAGCCTGAGGTTTTTCAGGGTCCGGTCTATCCGCCTATCAGTTGCTCCACAAAGAGGTGTCTCCGCTAGACACTTTTCCTGACATTTTTTATGGCAAACATAAGCACAGAACATACACTGGGAAGCAGCTTTAGTCCACACTTTTTTCTTACAGTAATCACACCAAGTTGGGTTCTGGAACTGAGTATCCTGGAAACTATGTTTATTTTCTGTTAAACCCATCTGTCCAACAAAATGTTCCTCTTTAGGTAGGGCAGAAACCTCTTCGACCAAATGGAGTTCTTTTTCTTTCTCTAAGTTAGTAACTGTAGGGTGGTCTGGTTCTCCTTCTTTCAAATATTTGAAGTGAATGGTAATGTCACCAAAGCAAAATTTGTCATTGAATCCCTTCTGCATACTCAGATTCCGTAGTGCGGTTCTCGTGACCATTGCCTTAGGCGAGGGGGCTTCCAGTCTGAATTTTGAAGAGTATTCCATGTTTGACGTGGCCAGACATCCTAAGGCCACCTCTTCAAGTTTTAAGCTGACATGCCCCAAACAGGTAAGACCCCCTAACTTGAAAGGATCTCTGCACCACAGTGCAATGTTTAAGTATCTGTGGCAGGCTTCTATGTCAAAGAAACAGGTTGCTCTGGTTCTTGTCCATTTTCCTAGCTTATTACGGTAAGGAATTTCTGATGATTCCCACATCTGAGGGTCATCTGAACTGTCCTTAGGAGGGCAGGAACTTTCTGAAGTAAAATCTCTCGCCACTTCTTGCTTTGCTAAAAATGGCTTAGATGCAGCTACATCTTCTGTATGATCCATATTTTTCGCTTGCTTTTCAGCAGGTTTATCCGCAGGAGGAGGAGGCAGCACCTTT